TCCCACTTGTGACCTAATGGGGACTCCATTTGATTCATGCTTGGGCACTCTTCTTTCATGCCAAAACATACATGAGAAGAGAGTGAATAGAGAGTTTACATATATAGACTTTTGGGGATTGTACAAGTATCTATCTATACGTGGCAAATAATTGTGGGTTGGGAAATTACAACTCTCAGTCATGACATAGTGACAGGTATAGCAAGACAATAAATTACAACTATTTCTTTATCACAATTATTTTAATGTTTTGATAGAAATCGAGTAATTATTTATTCAAACAAGAGACCTCTGGGGTGGTTTGGAGAGGTTGTTGATTTTACATTTTTAATATAATGAGAATGTAAAAAAATATTTTCGTTGACATAAGCAGTTGGGGGTTCGGTTGTCTCGCTCAAAATAGGCATTGGTCATAATAATTTTCAAGAAAGTTGTTGGGCTTCACCGAAAGTCAAGTTTCTGGTATTAGATTATTTATCTATGTATTTATTTATTATTTTGGTGAGTATGAGGGGCTATAAAAAAAATTTGAAAATAGACGCGGGCCTAGCACCATCAATCGGGACTCCGGCACGACAAACTCAAGCACCTTGATACCTCCTTGACTCCTATAACCTGAGCCTCGAGAATCCAGGGCTTGGACCCGGGAGAGCCGAAGGCTCTGGAGACTAGACCTGAGACACTGGCTACCCAACCCGAGAATCCATCCCATAAAGTTAAATGTATATGTCCAAATCATAATTGTGATACGGGAAAACGAAACAAGGCGATTTTACTATTCCATTTCCAAAAAGCGGATTTATATCCATGCTGGTAAATTTCTATAGGAGTTGGTAAAGTGTAAAAAAATATTGGTAAATACGTTATTGATCACCAAATTTGGTAATTTATTGGTAACTCACATATACTCTTGGTATGTACTTACCATTTTTTATTTGAGTGACTTACCAACTTTTTTCAATTAAATTACTAACTAGTTTTTGGTTACCAACTCTCATTAAAGTTACTTGTTAACGTGTTTTTCTTCAATTTATCAACTTTTGTTATTGTTTGCTAACTTTCATTTGTCTTTTTTATAATTTAAATTGATCAACTCTTATATGAATTTACCAATCTTTACTTGTGTGACTTACGAGTTTTTCTCCTATTAGTTTACCAATTAGTTTTGGTTTTCTGATTCTCATTCAAGTTTCTCATCAGGTTGTTTACCTACTTTTCTATTGATTTTCTAATTTTTTTTCCTTACTTATCAATATGTTAAATTTACCAACTCTTTTTAGGAATTACCACCTTACTTTGAGTAATTATTAACTTTTTCCCGATTGAATTATTAACTATTTCGTGTTATCAACTTTTATTTGAGTTAGTTACCAATGTTTATTTTTTTTTTTGGTAAGGTAAGAATTTTATATACTTTTCAATGCGCGACATACAGAGAAAGTAGTCGAAACACAAAAACCTCGCACTTGAGGCGACGCAAGAAGTGTCCCGACAGGTGCGAAGTTGTAGCGACTAAAACCGAGGCTACAAGCATGAGTGCGCAACACCAAGGCCACAAAGATGACCAACAGAAGCAGAGACCTATAAACTACTTACAAAGTAATCGAAAGATTACTCAAAAATGGAAGGGGAGATGCCCCATTTTTGCTGAATTCTTCTGTTGCGAACGTTATCAACAACAGGCTTCATGGACAAGCCTTTGTCCCTTACAAGTTTAGTGAGATGGTTGTGGAGGGCCGGCATGAATATGGGACGATTCCTGAATAGAATGTGGTTTCGCTCCGACCAGATAATACGGCACATTGCGCCAAGAGCAAATCATTCAATTTGCTGATGAAAGTTCTGACCCCCTATAATTCGGATAGCCCAATGGAGGTTTTATTGCCACGATCTATTTCGCCAAATTAGGTTACAGTTATTTGCCCAAAACAAAGCAAAGGTCCCAGTGACAGCACAACCAAAAAAAAGATGGTCAATGGAGTCGGGTCTGCTTCTACAGAATGCACATCTACCTTCGGAGATTCTGTGATAGCTTAGCAAAGTGACTTGCGTAGGGAGTCTATTCAGGGAGATAAGCCATAACAAGAAGCCGTACCTTGGCCCAATGGCTCGATCCCAAATGAAGGAGCTCCACAGAACATGCGGGCCTTTGTTTCTTATAAGATCCCATGCCGAAGAAGTGGAAAACAGACCGGAGGAATGGCCTTTCCAGGTAAAGCGATCAAGCTTCTCCGCATCAAGAGCTGGGACACTGTCCGCCCAAGAGCTGAAGATAACCAGAAAGTTAGAGATTTGCCAGACGGAAGAATAGAAGTCCCGAATTGATGCATTTCTCGGGATACCAGAATTGTATATGTCTCGGGATACCAGAATTGTATATGTCTCTATCAGAAAATAGTAAGTATAGAGGGCCCCTAGGATGCCAATTATCAAACCAGAATGAGATGGAAGCCCCGTCACCCATCTTCCAAAGGAAGTTTAGCTGGAAGTCCGAGCGAAGTTCCAGGATTTTTTTCCAGGTCCAAGAACAAAAAGTCGGTTTGGTTGCTACCTAGAAATTTTTTCTCTTGAGAAAATTGGAGTGTATCCATTTGCACCATAAGGACTCCTTATCGATGAATAGGAGCCATATGTACTTGAGCATTGCAGCCCTATTGCAGTCCGCAAGCCTCCAAATGTTTATTTGATGGCTTTAAATTACAAAATTCTGTTATATATAACAAAAGACCTCTTATCTTTTACTTACTTTTTTACCGAATGCTCAAGTCTATCAGCATGGATATAAGATTCCAAAATTTGTTTTGAGTGATTTACCCACCTTTCTCTGATTAATTAGTTTTAAGTCACCTTCTATCATTTGAGTTGTTTACAGCTTATGTTCACCAATTTTTTCTATTGAGTTACCACATCTATTTGTCTTGCTTGCCTTTTTTTTTTTTTTTTAACTTACCATCTCTTTTTGAAAACAACCAATTTCAATTAGAGTGATTACCAACATTTCTCTAATTAAATTACGAACTAATTTTGTGTTATCGACACTTCTTTGAGTTAGTTATCATTGTTTGTTTTTTTAATTACCAACTTCTCTTATCGCTAACAAAAAAGGACTCTCTAAAAGTTGATCAAACTTTATTTACCTTTCTTATCAACGACTTAAATTTACCAATTATTTAATGAAACTACCAACCGTTCTTGTGCGACTAACAAACTTTTCTCTGATCAAGTTACCAACTAATTTTGAGTTATTAACTCACCCTTGAGTTGCTCACCAATGTCTATTTATTCTATTTTTTTAACTTATCAATTTTTTCTTTGGTTTATCACTCTTAAATCACCACTTTTGAAGGTTGAAGAACTCCTGCAGAAGCGGCCATATCTGGTCAGGACTTCTGCCTCTCTCTTGGCCACTAACGTTGCCTTCCCATTTTTTCTCTGCTCCCTGGCCATAGAAATCCAGGCTTCATCAATTAGCATTTAGCATTAGTTGAACAATATTGAAATACTGAAAGCATCAGATGTAAGTTGGTCAATGGATGTATTTGGAGGAGTGGTCGCTACAGGGGCACATGAAGATGTTGAAACAGTGACAGCATTTCTTGTCAGTGTATGAAGAGGCATATTCTGGAAGTGGCATGGGAATCATCTCTCTCTTTCACTCTCTCTAGCCCGTTCCACATGGACCAAACAATTAGATTTGGCTTCAAAAAAAAGTTCATGCCAAAATCGGGCCATTGGGGCCCATGGGCCGAACGACCGTGCCCAGCACGGCCCTAAGACAAACGGCACAGCTGGTTGCCCAGTCCTGGTGAGGAGGGCCGCCACCTCCCCAACTGCAGCTACCCCTCACCTTCTCTTGCATTTGGTTTTTTCTTTTGTTCTCTTTTTAGATGTTTCATATTTCTATATTTGAAAACAATTGTTTATATTTTAATTTCCATGTAAGATGCCACCTAAGGTAACACGTCAGCATTTAATAGCCACACCATCATTTCCATTTATGTATTTTTGACAGCAGGAGCAATCGATTAAAATATTGTATAGATTAGGGACCAAATTGCAAATAAAAAAAGGGTGGAGGGGCGTGATTGAACATTTTGTGAAAAGTTAAGGACATCCCGTGCCTTTATTCCTAAAAGATAAAAAAAGTTGATAGTTGAAAGAAAAATAAACTTTGCTAATAACTCAAACGACATAAAAAGTTAGAAAATTTAAAAATACCAAGTAAATATCGATAAGTAACTTGAATGAAAGTTATTAATCCACTACCATGTGGTAATCTAATGGGAGAAAAATTAATGCCACGTTAATTTAGGTTGGCAATCCCTAGAAAGAGTTAGTAAATGTGAGAAGTTGCTAACCAAGGCAAATACATGTTGGTTACTCAATAAAGAAGTTGATAAGATATAATTTAACATCTAAACGTTGGTAAATAACTCAAATGAGAGTTGGTAACTTGATATAACAAAAGTTGGCAAATGACTCTAATTTAAGTTGATAATTTTATATAAGAGTTAGCAAATATGAAACGTTAGTAAGCTATGTAAATAAAAGTCAGTAAGTTAGTGCCAGAGTTGCTCATTTGCAAACTATAGAAAGGTTGGTGATTTTATTAAAATATTGGTAAGCTACCAACAAATTACCTGAAAAAACAAAATCGCCTATCATCTATTACCAATAGCTTTTTGTAAGTACCATCACCATTTATTGAAATTCACCGGCATGGAGACTTAGGAACAATAGAATTTACGGAGGAAGCATGAAATCAATGAACCAAATCAAAGGATGCAAAATAAAATCAGTAGGAGGGATGAATGAATACGCTATTCTTCTTGAAATAGCCCATTGTTCTTTTTTTCCTTTTAAGCATTTAGGACGTCAACCGAATTAACGGCATTTTGCCCTTCTTCGCGCCTAAAAATAACGGTTGAAATGGAGTCAAAAGGACTCGGCCTCGCTCTCACAGGCTCGCACTTCCCCACTTCATCTTCTCTCTGCAAAGAAACCCAAAACAGCTTCAACCAAAACGAAGATTGAATCATCCCATTCAGAAGAGCGAAATTTCTCAGCTTTCCGGTTCTAAGAAAATCTTCACACACACACATCTCGCAGTTGTTCATTGGAAGGACTAGATTGCGAAGGGGGAGAAGGAGAAGGAGAAGGAGAAGGCGGCTTCGGAATGGTACATACTATTTTATAGACAAGATAGCCATGGATGAGTTTAGTACTCAGGTAAGTCGCATAGGATATCAGGGACTTCAAGATGAGGGGCAAAGCAACACTCCTCCAATTCCAGAGGAGGTACGTGTTTCTTTCTCGAAAATGTTTGGATATTTTGTTTTCCGGTTTGACTGAATCTTTTAGTGTGTTTTTTGTGATTTCCATGGATAAAGAAAAGGAAATGGCCCGCAAAGTCATGCCCGATAGTTTGCACATTTTGGGTTGTTCTTGTTTTCTTCTTTATGACTGCATGAGAAACTCGATTCGAGAGAGAAAAGAAAAGGGAAAACGTTCATCTGATTTGGATTGATAGTTAAAACCCCAATTAGCGGAAAGCAGTATGTTAGTAAATAATCTTCAAGGAAGTTTCTGGCTATTCTTCAGGAAATTAATGCTCTGATACTATTATCACAGATTAACACTTTAGGTCATCAACTATTTTTTCCCTATTCGAGAATTCATGCATCCCCTGAAGATTGTGTTCCCGATCTACAGTCGTAATAATTTTAGTTAAGTGCAGTTATGTCGATGATTTCGCCATATGCAAGCTTTGAATGTGCCTTTAAATGTGTACTAGATACAGAAAGCTTTACTGTCTCAGGTCCAGATTGATGATTCTCCAATTTACAGAATAGAAAGACAACTGGGTAAGGGAGGTAATGGGATAGTATGTGCCGGTCGACCCATCGGTCCTTCAACTTCGAGTGGTCAAACTGGTCCACTTGCAGCGGAGGTACGGCCTTGAAGCTCTAATTCATTTTTCATTTTTGTAAAGTCAATACATGCTTTGTTGCTTAGATTATCAGTACAACACTATCTAGGTAGCAGTAAAGTTTCAGCGGGAAGATCCCAGTGGAAGAAAAGCCGGCATTCTTCATGAGTGGAAAGTTTATGAGTGAGTCACTAAAAATGTTTCCATGCTCGTTTTGTTTACATTGGATTCTAGCACATGAAATTGTGTCAGTTATACGAATGTCACATCCATTTTAACTGCATGTTGTGCAGTGATCTGGGTGAAAATCACGGCATACCACTGCCACGGGTGCATTACAGGGGGCAACAAGATGACTATAACATCCTGGTATGCGCAATTCCCTTTGAAAACAATTTCGAATTTTTCTCTGATGCTTAAGTTTTCGATGATCTGCCTCACATATGCAGGTCATGGATTTGCTTGGACCTAGTTTAGAGGTTCGCTTGGTCGATAACCGTCCATCGTATGTTCCCTCGTGAAGTGCCTACTCTATGGTTTCTCTTTGAAATTCAAACGTTGTATCGGGTTGTGCGTCTTTGTAATATTAACTCTTACCTTTTCCATTATTTCAGCATGCCATTGGGGGTAGTTGCTTGTGTTGCCGTTGAGGCAATCTCTATTCTTGAGAAGCTGCACTCTAGAGGGTAATGGATGATGGTCTTCTGATATCATTTCTGCTTTTCGATGCTCCTCCAGTGTTCCCTTTATCGGACTATCAAGTCAATTTCAAAAACCAGAGTTTTTTCTTGGCAGGTACATTCATGGGGACGTAAAACCTAGCAACTTTTTGCTCGGTCCTCCAGGAACTCCTGATGAGAGAAAATTGTTCCTGATTGACCTTGGATTAGGTCATCGGCCAGTTGCATATACAGATTTATATCCTAAGAAACAAAAATTAGAAAACGATCTGTCTCATTGTTGTTTCATTATTCGCAGCTGTGAGATGGCGATGTCATTCGACAGGTTTGCATGTTAGGTACCATCAATCTCCGAACCATTTTAGGTGGGGTTCAAGTGGTTTTTGTATCTTTACAAGAAATGCCCTGTCCAATGAGCCTCTGCTCAGAAATATACAACAAGTTAACTATTTGCTGCAGAGGAACGCCTCAATTTGCGAGCGTGCATGCTCATCTCGGTAGAACGAGTAGCCGAAGAGATGACCTGGAGTCACTGGCATACATGCTCGCTTTCCTTATTCGCGGTCATTTGCCTTGGCATAGATTTCAGGTTTTGATGTGCTTAAAACCAGAGAAGATGATTTCCAACCTTACAGATGAATCTGGCTTTTTAATCACTGCGGCTGTGTCAGGCAGAGGATATGCTATTATGCAAGAAAAAGATGGCCACTCCTTTGGAAGCTCTGTGTCTCTCTTGTCCTCCGCCTTTCCTGCAATTCGCCAAGTTTGCAGTAAATTTGAAATTCGATGAAGATCCAAACTATGCAAGATATATTTCTCTTTTCCATGGGATAATTGGTCAAAACCCATACATTTGGCCTGTGAATGCTGATGCTGCTCGGCAGGTACCATCTTATTCCTCTAAATATGTGCCTTTTGCAGTTTCTCAAGAAGCAAGATGTTTGTTAAATTCTCTAATTGGAACTCGTTTTCTATGTGAGCCATATCTTTCTCTTTGTTTTGACATGCATTTGTCAGTCAAATGAAGGTGACATGCTACCAGAGAGCTCACTAGCACGAAGGGGGTTGAGGAGATCACGATGGATAAGCATTTTCCACGAACATCCACCAATGAGGCAAAGGTAAGGACTTAAGAGTGACTTAGTGCTCGCAGTTCCTTCTTTTTCGGTACCTTGAGTTTGTTTTCAGATCATTATGCCTCGATTATTGACTTTAATTGTCCTATGGAAGATAAAGATGAAGTGTTCATCATCTCATCCACCTCTTTTTCTGGTAAGGATTTGCTACAATGTGGACGATGTGAACCTACCTTTACTCATTGAGGAGGCATATGCAGATGGACTGTATGTTAGCAGTGTGGCTTCCCGCTTGAATTTGTGGGCCATGGTAATGGATTCTGGCACTGGCTTCACTGCTCAAGTTCATACTATTTCGCCCGAGTTTCTTCCCCAGGTTGGATTCGAGCTGCCTTAAATTGGACTTCCATCATGTACTGTAGGTCCCGGTACTTCCACATTACTATTCTTTTAACAGATTGCATCAATAAAAAGAGGTATTCGACCTCAAAGGAACCAACAATACATCAAGCCCAATCGATGGGATCCCCCATCGGGCGTGACTTGACTGCTTATTTTTGTTGTTGAAGAACTGGATTAGGAGACAGTGGGCGAGGAATTACCACATCACTGCAGTCGCCGGAGCAGATAATGGTAGCATATTAGTTGTAATGTCCAAGGGTTAGTCAGTGAATGATGCTTTAATCTCTATTTCCAGCAACAGCTGTTGTACCTCGTCGATTATATGAGCTCTTCTTCATTTTACTGAATTCAGGGCCTCAAAACTTTCGGCAATCTTATCGCGTCACCGATACATTTCCTTATGGGTGGATTAAGAGGAAATGGGCGCTTGGTACTTATATCACGGCCATGGCCACTGTGGGAAGTAACTGGGTAGTCGTCATGTCCTCTGCTGCCGGATTCGTCCACCAGGTTTTCCATTCTTCTGTAGTTCCTTTATATACTCCTTTCCGAGAGTTCTCTTTCGAAGTGTCTAGAACTGGAAAAATCAATCTGATTTGTTTCTCGCACTGAACTTTAAGGTTGTAGAGCTAGATTTCCAGTACCCGTATGAGGGAATTTATGAAAGGTGGAATCAAGGCTACTTCATCACTTCAGTTGCAGCTACTCCAGATCAGGTAGCTTTTGTCTTCAGCATTCCGGGAGAAGTACCAGTAAGAGGATCCCAAGAGGCAGTCCAGACTTCACATTTTCCTGAAACAGTAGCGATGGTGATTATTTTAGGCCATTTTACAAGCATCTAACTTTTGGTTGAATTTGCTATGATTGTATGAGATAAATCATATGGTTCTGATTCTCATCTTTTGCAGGAGAGTTGGCCTAGGAATTACTACATGTCCCTTCTTTGCTACAGCAGACCTGTTTCGTGAACCACCAAGTATGGTGCGTGCATTTACTGGCGTCTTCACGAGTGATTGACGCACTTAACTTGCATTTTTTACCATTTATCCCGACTAAAGGGAAGCAAGGGTTAACAAGCCACTGATCAATCATGTCCAGATATGAACCCACTTCCCCTGGTACTGTATAGAATTGAATACTGACCAATTCTTGTATCCCTTGTATGCATGTTTTCATTAAAGTTTCACGCATTTGTGATGCCTTTGAAACATTATAAGAATAATAGTAGACCAAAATCTGGTAATGAGAACGATTCAATCTGTGTCTAGGTACTTTTTCATAAATGAGAACGCTCTGCCGATTAGTTACCTTAGTACTAGTTGAGACTTGTGTTACATGACCCAATCTGCATGTAATCTGATAGAATGAATGACATGCTATATGGCAAAATTTGGACTAATTACAAGCCAAGTTGATAGGAGTCTCGGAGAATGGGGTTGTTAAAGTCCTTGTCCGGATCTTAAAATCTTATGATTTAAGATCCGAACCTTAAGGAACTGTCCAGAGCTTAAATAGGATCTTGAGAGATATCCGAAGTTGATTGCTACAATCATCGGGACTCGAACTGGCTCGTTGATCTCGTTTGATTTGGGGTTTTAGAAGCCAGTCCAGCCAAAGGACCATCATATGACTTTCGCGAAGACATCAATTTTATAACAGAAGCTGACCTAGGATTTGTCCTCCCCTCACCTGTAAATGCACAAATGCAACTGGACAAAAGCTCATGAATTTCCCAGAGGACCACTTGAAGTTCTGCGTTATTTTTTCTGTTATTGATTAAAACTGGGAAGGAAAATAAGCCAACCTGATTAGTAGTGGTGATCACTAATAGTGCAAATACAAAGGCTCTAAAGAGCTGCCGTCGAAGAAGTAGATAGAGAGGAACAGCCCCTTCTGGGTATAGCAAGCTATCATAAGTAAGATAGGACTCAAGCTATGTCGTGGGGTGTAGTCCAGAAACGACATTGGTACGCAAATCTGAGATGCACAATTCATGGGGAGTACCCCAGATTCAGATTATAGTTATCACAATTACAGCGTGATGGACAAGTAGGTAACTGCCATCTGCTATGGTCACAAAGCAGCTGTGAAGCACTTTCGCGTCCAGACTGCAGAGCATGCATGAATGTCACTGTTGACCCTGGCGCATGATCCTAGTGTTGTAGGACAAGACGACTACCCATGTACTTCCTGCAGTGACCATGGCTGTGACATGATAACTGTGCTCCCATTTCTCTTTAATCCACTTGATAGGAAACATGTAGCTGATGCGAAAAGTTTGCAAGTAATTTCAAGTCCCTAGATTAGGCAAACAAAGAAGCAAATCAGTAAAACAATAGCGGACAATAATCGCTGCTGGGAATAGAAATTGAGGCATCATCACTCACCGACTTATCCTTGGACATTACAACTAATAACCGTTCAGAGCTACTGCAGTGATGTTGGTGTTCTGGTATCTGCACAGCTGTTCCGATATCCAGTCCTTCAAACAACAACATAAGAAAAGTCAAGTTCCTCCTAACTGTGAATGCGTTTGAACTGGTTTTGATATATCGGTGGTTCATACAAGGTTGGGTTCAATTATTTTTTCATGATGCAATGTCTTAACAGAATAGTAACATTGAATGACCAAATTTAAAGCAGCCGAAATGCCGATACTGGGAAGAACTTTGGACTAAATAGTATGAACTTGAACAGTGAGGCAGGTGCCAGCAACCAGCACCAAGGTGAGGCCCACAAATTCGAGAAAGGAGCCATGCTGCGAACATAAATCCCAGCCAAACATGCCTTCTCAATGCACGAGCGCATGTCGGCATCTTGCAAATTGTAACAAATCCCATGAAAAAAAGATGCATTTGTCAATTAAAAAGTTATAATTGAGGTGTAATAATTCGAGGACAAAGTCTAGGTGTCGTAAAAGAACATGTGAGGCATAAGTCCTTACATCTGCAACATGGATGGGTGTGGATAAAAAATGCTTATCCATTATGATATGCTCGACCCTGTCCGTGTTAGTGCTCTCTGTGGTAGATAGTCTTCCTCATTTAACTGTGCACGGGCATGTGGATAAGCTCAGATTAGAAAGTTCACCGACGTGGGTTGCTTCTTCAGCGACCCAATAACCGTGCATTGAGAAGAATAAGATAGTTACCTCCCCAGCAGAATAAGCATTGACAGGACGAACAGACGGGTTTTGACCCACTATTCCACAAAAAAGAGAAACGTATCCTGCATAATTTGGTTCTTTGCTGAATCCCAAATTCAAGACAAACTTGGTGAATTGCAGGAGTGGCCAAAGACAAAGCACACGGTTTCTGAAGGAGTGGCCATCTTTTTGTTGAAAACAAGTAAAGGCCTACCGTCTCCCTAAACGACCATAGTGGTTAAAAAGACAGATAACAATGTGTGAGGTTTTTTAAGATCCATCTTCTCTGGCTTTAAGCAAATTGAAACCTGATATCCTTCCTCAAGGAAAATGACCACGGAGAAGAAAAACGAGCATGTAAACAGGGACTCCAGGTCATCTCTTGGCTACTTGTATCAAGAAGAGCATGCACGCTTGTGAATCGAGCCGTTCCTCTGCAACAAAAGTTTTGTTTGTTCCTTTCTGTTGAATGGAAGTTATGAGATAGAGCAGGCATATCACATACATAGATGGTAGAAACCACTTCAACCCCACCTGAATTTGCCTGGATATTGATGGTACCTAGCATGCGAAGTGGTCGAATTATCTCCCCATCTCACAGCTGTCATAATTGACATTACAATGAGACAGGAGTAACATTTGTTCTTAGTTATTTTTATCATTAGGATATAAATCTTAACCTAATCTGAGGTCAATGAGAAACAACCTTATCTCTTCAGGAGTTCCTAGACGATCAAGCAAAAAGTTGGCGGGCTTTATGTCCCCATGAATGTACCTGCCAGGAACACCCAAGTATAAGCAAAAACTGAAATGGTTTTTAGCTGTCTTATAAAAGCTCCACCCAAGTATGTGAGAATGCCGGGAAGTTCGGCTTTTCTGAGATCATAAACTTGACACTCTGACAAGCAAAGCAATAAGAACATTGAAAACGGAAATGAGATTGGAAATTGATCGACCATTACCCTCTAGAGTGCAGCTTCTCGAGTATAGAGATCGATTCGACGACAACACAAGCAACTACCCTCTCCAGTGGCATGCTGAATAGAAGAAAGGGAAGAGCTAAATATCAGCAAAGGCATAGGCACTTCATGATGAAACTTGCGCTGGACAGTTTTTAGTCAAACAGACTAGTAAACTCAGTCCAACAAATCCCACACCTGCATAAGTGAGGTGGATCAATGAAAGCTCAAGCATCAGAAAAAATGCAGAATCAGAGTCAAGTGAAATGCACATGTCATGATGTTACAGTCGCCTTGTTGCCCCTTGCAACATACTCTCCTAGCAGTAGTATGCCTTGATTTCACCTAGGCCACTGCACCATATGCAGAAAAACAGATGCAGAACTCAAAAGCATGATCTGATCTCAAGCACAAGAAAGTGATGTAAACAACACAAATTTGGGGACCATCCTAAGTGACTCACTCATAAACTTTCCACTCGTGAGGAGTGTAACCTTCAGGGTGTCTTCGCTCAAATTTAACACCACCTGGATGGAGGTGCAGTAAAATTTAAGTGACAAAGCATATATTAACTCTCATTCTAACAAAAGTGAACAGTATATTAAGAGCTCCAAGACCATGCCAGTTTGACCACTTCGAAATCAAAGGTCCATTGGGTCGAACGACATGAACTCGTGCCGAACTTCCCTTCCCGATTGTCTTCTATTCAACAAATAGGAGAATCACCAATCTGAACCTGCGAAAGTGAAATTTTCAGTGCTCAACATTCACGGCATAGACGAAACTTGCACGTCGAGATCGTTGAACGAAATGCACTGTGACAGAAAGCATTGAAACTCATCGGTAACACATTCTTGACAAGATGAACGAATCCTCGCGTCGGTCCAAATCGATGTTTTGGTTTCTTTGGAGAATGGCAAGTGCGAGCTTGTGAAAGTGAGGCCGAGTCCTTTTGACTCCATTTGACCGTTGGAATCTTTTGGCGGGAAGAAAGAGCTTTCGAGTACAAAGACTTGATAACGTTTTGCACTCTCTATACGCAAAATTACCGTTTCTACATCTTTGGAGAAAGCCTTACAAGTGTAAAAGACTTGATTGCCCTTCTTTCTGATCTTCGCACCGAATTCCGTAATATGGCTCCTCAAAATCTCGCCACCATGAGTAGACATCGCGGACGACCTTGAGCTAAGCTCTTCTATGGTTGTCATGGTCATGTAGACAGAGAGAGAGGTAGGTGTGAGCACCACCGGAGATTGAGAAACGATCGGCGGCCTCAGTGACATGCGGCGGCAATTGTTGGCGGCCGGAGTTAAAGCTAGGGTTGTTTTGGGGATTTCCAGTGGGTAAGGAATTTGGAATTAGTGATAGGGGCATTTTGGGGAAGTAAAAATGCCAAATTCTAAATAAAAACTTGCAAATTGGTAGCGTAGCTCAGGGTAAACCGGTCATTTCAGTAGGAAGCCCTCGTGTATCTTTCCCGTTTAATTATATAATAAGCATTCAGACGTCAACCGAAATAACGGCATTTTGCCCATCTTCGCTTCCAGAAGTTCGTTCTTCCCCCCTAAAACCAACAGACTCTTCAGGCACTGCCCACTCATTCTCTTCAAGAACCCAAATCATTCTTTCCAGAGAAGAAGAAACGAGAACTGAAAGGATTAACGCTGCTTGATCCGTCCCTTTCTCTTCGAAAAGAAGATCTCCCCCACATCAACTCAGGCCGACACCGGTGGAGACGGCACAGTTCAGAAACGTCTCAATATCGGATTAAAAGCTGGGAGGGTAGATATGGATCAGTCCAGAAGTCGACGTCGTAAAAGCAATACTCCTCGGCAGGTACTTGCATTGTTCTTGGAAATGGGTGGTTCAGTAGAGGAAGTAGAGAAATGCAAGTCAAACTCAATGTTTCAATAGTTTTTGGGCCGTTCTTGCTTTTAGGTTTGAGAAATTCAATTCCAAGGGAACCACCAGTGGAGACGACGCAGTTCAGAACCGTCTCAAGATTGGATTAAAAGCTGGGAGGGTAGATATGGATCAGTCTAGAAGTCGACGTCGTAGAAGCAAGACTCCTCGACAGGTACTTGCATTGTTCTTGGAAATAGGTGGTTCAGTAGAGGTAGTATAGAAATGCAAGCCAAACACCATGTTCAATAGTTTTTGGGCCATTCTTGCTATTAGGTTTGAGAAATTCAATTCCAAGGGAACAATCAGTGTCGTTCTTGTTTTTGTGCTGATTCAGCAAGATTAAACAGAGCAAAAGGGTCAAGCATGAAAAAGATTTTGGTGGGTCATTTTCTGCTATTTTATTGGCGGAAGAGAAAAAGAGGAAGTTTTCGTCTAGTACATATTTATAGCTAAAATCCCCATTCAAGTTTCATGAATTGAGTTTCTGTCATCAACTACTTTTGCTCTATTTGAGAACTCCATGCATCACAATATCAGATTATATGTTACCAACAGTCGTAAAGCTTTTAGGTACAATACCATTGGTTCAATAGTTCACCATGCAAGTTCTAAATATGTATTGAAAATTTGATTGTCACAGGTTCAGATTGATGATTCTCCAGTGTATACGATAGAAAGAAAACTGGGAAAGGGAGCTTTCCAGCAAGTTTATGTCAGTCGAGCCATCAATCCTTCGACTTCAAGTGATCAAAACGGCATGGAAGCAACAGAGGTGTGGCCTCAAGCGCTGATTCTACCATTTTCAGATAATTCATTACATTGGCGCCTTTACTTAACATGATATAATGTGGCACTATCTAGGTGGCCATAAAATTCGAGCATAAAGACAACATAGGATGTGAAGGTGGCATCCCTAATGAGTGGAAAGTTTATGAGTGAGTCCTTTAGAATTATTTCATGTTAGATTTGGCTATATCTTGCTCTTGCATGTGAAATTGGATTAGGGTGTTGAATTTCACATCTGCATTCCGCATATTGCGCAGTGATCTGGGTGAAAGTCATGGCATACCACTGCCACAAGTACATTACAAGGGGCAACAGGGTGACTATTACGTCATGGTATGTGCATTCCCTTTGACTCGTAATTTGTACTCTTAGAATAAAAAATTTTCAATGATCTTCTTCGTATATGCAGGTCATGGATTTGCATGGACCTAGTTTACAAGACCTTTTGGTCAACAACTTTCGAAAGTATATTTCCTCGTGAAGTTAACAGCTTTGACTTCACAGCTTTTACAGTGTCTGCTCTTCAGGTTCTCTTAAACAATCTCTAATTCTCTTTCAGCTTCTGATGTTAGCTCCTTCCTTACTACAGCCTGCCATTGGAAGCAATTGCATGTATTGCCGTTGAAGCAATTTCTGTACTTGAGAAGCTGCACTCTAGAGGGTAATAGCAGACTAGCTTCCAATCGCATATTTGTCAGCATTTTCTTCATCGAACGGAAAAATCATAGTTACAGTAGACCAGACTATCATAAATATATTCCAGGTTCAACTTTTGTGTTGTTTCTCATGTGTGCTTCTTATCTGGGCAGGTACATCCATGGTGACATAAAACCAGATAACTTTTTGCTTGGTCCTCCTGGAACTCCTGAAGAGAAAAAATTGTTTCTAACTGACCTTGGATTAGGTATCTGCCAATTGCATGAATACTTTTATTCCCTAGAAATTAGTGATTGTGAAGGAGAAAATGCACATGTCTCAACGTTTATTCATGACCTTGCAGCTACAAGATGGCAAGATCCCTCCACTAGTTCGCACATTAAGTACAACCAAACTCCAGATGATTTCAGGTTCAGTCAAAATATTGTTAACATCTTCAATATGCACATACCACATGCCCTACTTGTGTAATTAGTGTTCCAAGCACCACAAAAAAATTTGTTGCAGAGGAACAATTCCATTTGCAAGTGTGCACACTCAACTTGGTAGAGCAAGTAGCAGAAGAAACGACCTAGAGTCTCTGGCTTACATGCTCGTTTATCTTATCCGCGGTCATTTGCCTTGGCAAAGACATAAGGTTTCATTCTCTATACCAAGAGAAGATTTCTTGAACCACACACCTGTATCTGTCTTTTGATTGCCACAGTTTTTTCAGGGAGGAGGTAAAGCTTTCCCTGTTTGCAAGCAAAAGATGGCCACTCCTCCATACACCCTGTGTGAAACTTGTCCTAAGCCTTACCAGCAGTTTGCCACGTTTGTGCTAAATCTAAAATTCGATGAAGAACCCAATTACGCTAGATACATTTCTCTCTTCGATGGGATCATCCATGAAAATCCACACGTTTGGCCCGTGCACACCAATGTTGCTCAGGAGGTAGTATACTATTCAAGTAAAAAGCAATAGATGTCAATGAAATTTCTCATTTGAGCTCGTCCTCTTAATGAGCCATGTCTTTCTCTTTCATGTGATACACGCACTTATCAGGTACCACATAAGCGAGCGCGGTTAAATGACGATGAGCCATCAAAGAAAATACGAATGGGATCGAAACTAACACAATGGATAATCGTTTACGATATGCATACACCCATGAAGCAAAGGTAAGGAATTGCATTTCAGATTTATTTAGTTTTTCCGGTACCTTGACTGTATTGATAATCTTCCTCTTTCTTGCAGATCCTTCTATAATTTGCATTATGGCGACCTCCGCTTACACATTGAGAAGGGACATGCGGAGGGAATGTACATCACCAGTGTGGCTTACTGTTCTCACTCTAAGACATGGACCATAATAATGGATGACAGCGCCGGCTACACTGCTCAGATTTATGCTTTTGCATTCGACTCTCTTCCCAAGGTTCTGTTTGAGCAGCTTTACTTCGGACTTGCATCTATAGTAGATCCCAATAGTTGCATGTTATAATCCTGATAATACATAACTGGAAGAATTTTTGTACCAGACCCATTAGGGACATCGATACATCAACCTCTTATAGTGGGATTCTCAACTAGGATTCTCTTGACTGCTTATTTCCTTATTTGAAGGACTGGATTACGACACAATGGTCAAAGAACTACAACATCACTGCAGTGGCTGGAGCAGATGACGGCAGATTTTTGGTTATAATGTCCATGGGTCAGTCAGTGGATGCTTAATTTCTATTGCGATGACTCCTCACTAACGTTACACTTTACCATTTACCAGTTTTTTTTTATATACACATAGGGACCCAGAGTGTTCAGCAGGCATATCGTGTTACCAGTACATTCCCTTTCAAGTGGATTAAGGAGAAGTGGGCAGAAGGCCTTCATGTCACTGCCATGGCCACTTCCAGGAGGCGGTGGGCAGTAGTTGTGTCCGATGGAACTGGATTTACTGACCAGGTTCTTCTTTTTTCTTCTCCTTTTCTGAGACTACCCGATTACTCCTCATTTCGAGATTTTCCTTTGAAGTGTCTGGAACCTGAAGATTCTGCTCTGATTTGGTTTCTTGTGCTGTACTTTTAAGGCTGTAGAGCTAGACTTACAGTATCCGGCCGAAGGCATTCATGAAAGGTCAAAGCAGGGCTATTATATCACTTCAGTTGAGGCCACTCCGGATGAGGTTGCTGTTATATTTAGTATTCCAGAAGGAGTACCAGCAACCGCAAGTGTAGAGCAAGAGACGCTTCTGGCTTACGGTTTTCCTGTTGATAGTAGGATCAAGGTGATTAGTTTGGCCTTTTACCAGCATCTATATGGTTGTATTAACTCTGCTTCACCAAGCACTTGTTCTCATCTTCTGCAGGAGAAGCAGGCAAGAAATTACTATATTTCTTCTCTTTGCTACGGTCGAACCATTGCCTAAGCTCCCAAATATATGTGCAATCAAGGATTTCTCATCGAGCGGCACAACCACTCTGCATGCATTTTTTGCCTTCTATGGCCGATTTCTTAATAAGCAAGTTCAACAAGTCACTGATCAAATCCTGTACAGAGTTGAATAGTAGTCACTTCTTCTAATGCCGTAAGGAATTAATTGTAACCTCTTTGTCATACTTTTGTGGAGGAAGCTTTTAGTATTGCTCCTGAAACTTTTCAAGCTCAACCAAAAAAGAAAGAATTAGGCTTACATTTGGTAAATTTTGCCAAGAGGTAACCAATTCTTCTCCATGAGATGCGACAGCATGACAAATTTAGCAGTACGCATTGGGACTTGACTGTGTGGATTGTTCGTCTTGTATGATTGGAGTTTCGGAAACCAGACTAGTAATTCGTAAGTCCAGCGAAAACGTCGACTTTGTACCAGAGGTTGACCTCACATTGACCTTATATATGCATAAATGCAACTGGACAAAAAGTTCAAGAATTTCCCAGATAAGTTTGGCATCATTTTTCTACTAATACTTGATCACAACAACGGAGAAGAAAAAAGTCAACTGGCTTAGTGTTGGTGATCATGCCAAGTGATAGTTTAAATATCAGCGGGAGGAGAAATTTAGGAACATCGGTGTTGGAAGAAGCTGGCATCAAAGTAAGTTTTTATACAGAAGAACGACCCCTCTCTCTGAATACCAAGCAATTGTAAACAGTTAGGATCTGAGTGCTCGATTATGTATCTGCTTGTTTACTGCATTGTGCCGTTTAAGCTTAATCAGAAAAAAAATCTGTTTAAAATAGAGAGAGATAACCCAAGAGGGTCGCTTTCCGACAAATTACAGTCATCATTTTGAGGGTCTGCTCTTAGTTCAGAGCAATAATGTTGCGAGATGCTGTCCAGACACGAGTTGGTAAGCATAATCTGCAACGAGACCAACTTCATTTCTGGGGGCTGTACCATGATGCCGTGCATATAGTCCTCAATGATTGGGCTGCGGAGACCACGAATTACAATCGTAGTTATTACAACTAGAACGTGATGGATGAACATGTTACTGCCGTCTGCTGTGGCCAGGGTGCATGCTATGGACTTCCGTGTGACCATTACACTGCGTGCAAGATGTTCGCCGTTGGGATACAGTATAGATGTCCATTTGCCGTGACGGCTCAACTCCAACTTCAGGGCTGTAGAGTCGAATATGAAAACTAGTCATTTGTTGAATGATCAAGCGGTTGGAGAGATATTGCTTGACAAGATCATCTCTATTGTTACTGTACTATTGCACTTGTCCTGTCTTCCCTGCAATGAAAGTTAAAACTTTGAAAGTGGACTACTTTTTTTTTGGGGGGATCGATGAAAGTGGATATTTAACTCAAGGTTGCATTAAGCTTTTTGTATCGCATAGATTTTGAGATAAGGAAAGGAAAAATAACAATTGCTGTTCTTGATTTTCACGTTATATCACTTTGCAGTCTCAGTATCTGAAATTACCACTTTGACATTTTATCAGAAAGCTTTACTAGTAAAAAGGTTTTAATTGCCTTAATCTAAGCTCGCGCGCGCACTTGGGGACAACCTTGAGGTCACGGGCATGTAGACGTCGTGGACGACCTTGATCTAAACTCTTCCACGGTTGTCACGGGATTGAGAGAGAGAGAGCGCAAAGAAGAGAGCGGTGCAAGCACCACCGGAGATAGAGAAACGATCGGCAGCTTCAATGACAGGCGGTGGCAATATCGGCGGCGGCTGCTGAATTAAAGTTAGGATTAGCACGAGAAACGAGGATGACTTTGCGTATTTTCCCATTAAATTATCATAATCAATCAGAGGTCAACCGAAATAACAGCATTTTGGCTACCTTCGCTTTCAAAAGTTCTTACTTCGCGCCAAAACTAACGCCCTCAACCTCCCACTGCCCACTCATTCTCTTCAAGAACCCAAATCGTTTTCTCAAACAAAGAGAACAAACAAAAAAGATTGAAAGGACTTATTCTGCTTGATCGTCACTTTCTCTTCAAAAGAAGATCTCCTTCAACGTCAAAGCTCGGTTGAGATAGGTGGAGACGACACGGTTCAGAACCATCAAGATTGATCTAAAAAGCTGGGAAGGGTAGATATGGACCAGTCCGGCGGCCAAAGTCGTGAAGGCGATGAGGGGCATCAAGATGAGAACCAAAGCAGCGCTCCTCCAATCCCTGAACAGGTACCTTGCATTGTTCTTGGAAATGGGTGGTTCAATGGAGAAAGGACAAAAAATGAAAGTCAAATCCCATGTTGACTAGTCCGCAAAATTTTTGGGCCGTTCTTGCTTTTTCTATTTGAGAAATTCATTGCCATGGAGCAGTCGGTGTCTTTCTTGTTTTTGCGTTGATTCAGCAAAATCAAACAAAGCAAAAGGAAAACATGACAAGATCTTTGGTGGGTCATCTTCGGCTACTTTATCGGCCAAAGAGAAAAGGGGAAAATTTCATCTAGTTCAGTCGATAACTAGAATCCCTTGCAAGTTCCACAAATTTTCTGTCATCAACTACTTTTGGTCCATTCAAGAACTCCATGCATCACGGGGTCAGATTATAAATTACCGACAGTTGTAATGAAAACGGTTCAATGATTCACCATGCAAGCTCGAAATACGTACTGAAAATTTGATTGTCTCAGGTTCAGATCGATGATTCTCCGGTTTACAGAATAGAAAGAAAACTAGGAAAGGGAGGTTTCGGGCAAGTTTATGTCGGTCGAGCCATCAGTCCAACCTCAAGTGATCAAACTGGTGTGGAAGCAGCAGAGGTATGGCTTTGAGCTCTAATTTTATCATTTTCAGATTATTCATTACGTTGGCACCGTTAGTTAACATCATTTAATGTGGCACTACCTAGGTGGCCATAAAATTTGAGCATAAAGACAGCATAGGATGTGAAGGTGGCATCCCTAATGAGTGGAAAGTTTATGAGTGAGTCCTTTAGAATTATTCCATGTTAGATTTGGCTATATCTTGCTCTTGCATGTGAAAGTGGATTAGGGTGTTGAATTTCGCATCTGCGTTCCGCATATTGCGCAGTGATCTGGGTGAAAGTCATGGCATACCACTGCCACAAGTACATTACAAGGGGCAACAAGGTGACTATTATGTCATGGTATGTGCATTCCCTTCGACTCGTATTTTTTACTGTTAGAATGCAAAGTTTTTGATAATCTTCTTCGTATATGCAGGTCATGGATTTGCTTGGACCTAATTTACAAGTCAATTTGGTCAACAACTTCCCAACGTATGTTTCCTTGTGAAGTTAACAGCTTTTACAGTGTCTGTTCTTCTGGTTCTCTTAAACAATGTTTAATTATCTTTCAGCTTCTGATGTTAGCTCTTTCTTTGCTACTTTAGCCTTCCATTGGAAGCAATTGCATGTATTGCCGTTGAAGCAATATCTATACTTGAGAAGCTGCACTCTAGAGGGTAATAGATGGCTAGCTTCCAGTCGCATGTTTGTTAGCATTTTCTTTATCGGTTAGTCAAATCAGTTTTTTGGTAGGCCAGGCAATCAGAAATATATGCCAGGTCCAACTTTTTGTGATGTTTCTCATGTATGCTTTTTTTCCGGGCAGGTACATCCATGGTGACATAAAACCAGGTAACTTTTTGCTTGGTCCTCCAGGAACTCCTGAAGAGAAAAGATTATTTCTGACTGACCTTGGATTAGGTATCTACCAATTCCGTGAATACTTTTATGCTAGAAATTAGTGATCGCTTAGGAGAAATGCACATGCCTCATTGTGTATTCATTACCTTGCAGCTAAGAGATGGCAAGATCCCACCACTGGTTCTCACGTTAAGTACGACCAAACTCCAGAAGATTTCAGGTTCGGTCAAAATGATGTCAACATCTTCATATGCACATACCACATGCCCTACCTGTTTTAATTACAGTTCCATGCACTGAAAAAAATCCTTACTACAGAGGAACAATTCTATTCGCAAGTGTGCACACTCAACTTGGCAGAACAAGTAGCAGAAGAAACGACCTAGAGTCTCTGGTTTACATGCTCGTTTATCTTATCCGCGGTCATTTGCCCAGGCAAAGTGATCAGGTTTCACTCCCTATACCCAGAGAAGATTTCTTCAACCATACACCTGTATCACTCTTTTGATCGCCACAGTTCTTTCAGGGACAAAAAATGTCTTTCCCTGTTTGCAAGCGAAAGATGGCCACTGCTCCAGACACACTGTGTGACACTTGTCCTAAGCCTTACCTGCAGTTCACCACGTTTGTGCTTAATCTGAAATTCGATGAAGAACCGAACTATGCTAGATACATTTCTCTCTTCCATGGGATCATTGGTCTAAATCCATACGTTTGGCCTGTACACACCGATGTCGCTCAGGAGGTAGTATCCTATTCTAGCAAAAAGCAATAGATGTTAATGAAATTTCTCATTCGAGCTCGTCCACTAATTAAGCCATGTCTTCCTGAGCCATGTCTTCCTGAGCCATGTCTTCCTGAGCCATGTCTTCCTGTTTCATGTGATACGCATGTATCAGGTACCACATAAGCGAGCGCGGTTAAATGACGACGACAAGCCATCAAGGAAAATACGAATGGGATCAAAACTAACACAATGGATTAGCATTTATGATATGCATCCACCCATGAGGCAAAGGTGAGGATTTGCATTTCAGATTTATTTAGTTTTTTCTGGGGTACCTTGCGTTTATTGATAATCTTCCTCTTACTTGCAGATACTTCCCTAATTTGGATTATGTCGACCTCATCTTACACATTGAGAAGGGACATGCGGAGGGAATGTACATCACCAGTGTGGCCTACAGTTTTCGCTCTAAGTCATGGGCCTTAATAATGGATGATAGCGCTGGCTACACTGCTCAGATTTATGCTTTTTCATGCGGCTCTCTTCCAGAGGTTCTGTTTGAACAGCTTTACTTTGGACTTTCATCTATAGTAGATCCCAGTAGTTGCATGTTACAATCCTGATAATACAAAACTGGAAGAATTTCTTTAATCCATTAGGAACATACATACATCAGCCTTTCACAGTGGGATTCTCAATTTGGACTGTCTTGACTGCTTATTTCCTTATTTGAAGGAATGGATTAGGAAACAATGGTCGAAGAACTTCTACATCACAGCAGTGGCCGGAGCAGATGACGACAGATTTCTAGTTATAATGTCCAAGGGTCGGTCCATGAATGCTTGTTTCACCGGTTTTCTTGATGTACACATAGGGACCTGGAATATTCGGCAGTCCTGTAGTGTTTTTGATATATTTCCTTTCAAGTGGATCAAGAAGAAGTGGGCAGAAGGTTTTTATGTCACCGCCATTGCCACTTCCGGGAGCCGGTGGGCAGTAGTTTCATCAAAAGGAACCAGATTTACCGACCAGGTTCTTCTTTCTTCTTCTCCTTTTCTACTACTACCCAATTTACTCGTCATTCAAGAATTTCCTTTGAAGTGTCTGGAACTGGAGGATTGCTCTGATTCAGTTTCTTACATTAAACTTTTAAGGCCGTAGAGCTAGATTTTGAGTATCCGGCTGAAGGCATCCATGAAAGGTCAAAGCAGGGCTATTATATCACTTCGGTCGCAGCCAATCCGGATGAGGTTGCTTTTATCTTCAGTATTCCCGGAGGAGTACCAGCAACTGTAAGTGTAGAGCAAGAGACGCTTCAGACTTTCAATTTTCCTGATGATAGTATGATCGAGGTGATTAGTTTGGTCCTTTTACCAGCATCCATTTGGCTGTATTACCTCTGCTTCACCAAGCACTCGTTCTCACATTCTGCAGGAGAAGTGGTCAAGGAATTACTATATTTCCTCCCTTTGCCACGGTTGAACCATCGCTTAAGCTACCAAGTATAAGTGCAATCAAGGATGTCTTAGCGAGTGACATGACCACTCTGGATGCATTTTTTGCCATCTATTGCCCATTTCTTAGGAAGCAACAAGTCATTGATCAATCCAGTACAGAGTTGAACAATAGCCACTTCCTCTAATATTGAATGGAATTAATTGTAACCTCTTTGCCATACTTTTTGTGCAGGAAAATTTTGTATTGATTCTGAAACTTTCAAGCTTAACAACAACAACAACATAGGGTTAGGCCTACATTTGGTAAATTTTGCCAAGTGGTAACCAACTTTTCTCCACGAGACACCACATTTCTTGACAAAATTTTCAGTACGCGTTAGGACTTGATATTGTCGACTGTTGGCCCTGTACAATTTGATTTTCAGAAGCCCGACCAGCCAAAGAACTGCAACAGAATTCGTAACTTCAGTGAATCTTAACTTCAGCGAAAACATCGACTTTGTACCAGAGGTTGACCTAGGGTTGACATTAGATATGCATAAATGCAACTAGACAAAATTTCATGAATTTCCCCGCATGCAGTCAAGCTCCCTTCTGCCTTTGCACTCAAGGGCCAATCTCCGTCTGGCTCGAGAAACATCTGATTTGATTCGTACTCAATAGCCATGAGATGATCATCTCTCCTACCTATATCGAATAGAACATGCTGAGCCAAATCATTTTTCAACTAATATGGTGATCACAACAAGGGCGAAAAAAACAAAGTCAACCGGCTTAGTGTTGGTGATCATTTCAAGTGATGCATTAAACTGTCAGGGGAGGAGCAATTTAGGAACATTAGCGTTGGATGGACCTGTCATCAAAGAAGTATACACAGAAAGGAACGACCCCTTCTCTGAATACCAAGAAAATTGCAGACAAAGATAGGATCTGAGTGCTCGATTTTGTATCTGCTTGTTTGCTACATTAGTTGTTTAAGCTAAATCAGCAAAAATCTGTTTAAAACAAAGAGAGAGAGAGAGAGAGAGAGAGAGAGAGATGACCCAAGATGGTTGCCTTCCGACAAACAATACTTATCGGTTTATGGCTGCTCTTAATTTATAGCAATAATGTTGCAAGATGCGGACCAGACACAATGTCGGTGAGCTAATCTGCAACGGAGAACAATTTTGTTTCTGGGAGCCATAACATACTGCCATGTATATAGTCCTCAATATTTGGCTGCCGAGACCTTGAATTATGATCATAATTATTATAACTACAACGTGATGGATGAACATGTTACTGTCGTCTGCTATGGACGGTGCATGCTATGGACTTTCGTTTGAAGTTTGCCTTGACCAGATAAAATATAGAAATTCACTTGCTGTGGAGGCTTGGCTCCAACTTCTGAGTCAGATAAGTTCGCCCCTTCACCCTTAAATAACTTGTCCTACAACAGCCCTAGACAGAAAAGCAAGCTGGGAAGAAGAAGCAAAGTTTGAGCATGAGATCATCTGTCATGTCAACCTCCAGCACAATCTCCTCATGCGAACTCTCTCCTGGCATTAAAGATGCTATTGCGGCATAACAATGATCCGGAAAAGGGAGGAAGGTGCGTAATAACTGAGCTGAAATACAGAAGCAGAATGTCAAGCATCATGAACACGCGCGTCGGGCCCCCAATATCATGCATCCTCCTCTGAATTCCTGAGACGTGAGCATCTTGGTAAAACGACTCGATTGCCCTTCTTTCCAATTTCTGCATCAAATTGAGTAATGTGGTTCCTCAAAATCCCACCGTCATGAACGTTGACGACCCGAAGGTCACTCATGCGAAGACACCATGGACGACCTTCCGTGGCTGTCTTGGTCATGTGGAGAGAGAGAGAGATGATCAGCATCTCAGTGAGGACAGTGATTTGCCCTGTCTCTTTGCAGAGCGTGAAGTCGAAAATCACATCTGAAACTAAACGTCCTAACCTTTAACCATCCCGAGAAAGTGGGAAATCGAACTTGTCACCTCCCCCCTCCAAAGTAGAAAGGGTGGCCACTAAGGGTGCGCATGACAACCATTCTGTGCCCGGGAACTATTTCTGAACAGAAATGATTTTTTTTTATTCTGTGCCCGGAAACAATTTCTATGCATTTGAAGGCGTTTGGTAAACTATCCAAAATTTCTATTCCTGGAATAGAAAAGAACATAAATGCGTTTGGTAACTACACACAAATTTCTTTTTATTAATAATATTTTAATAATATTTTGAATTGTTTTATTTTTTTTTTCTTTTTACCCAGGCCATGGCCGGCCAGGGCGTCACGGCCCTCGCCGGCCGCCGGCGGAGGCGAGGGTCCCCCCTGCCGGTGAGGGCGAGGGCTGGACCCTCGCCGCCTGGGCAAGGCGGCTCGCCGTTGGTCATGGCGAGGTCGGCCTCGCCCGGATCGGGCGAGGCCGAGCCTCGCCGTCGCGACCCATGGCGAGGCTCGGCCTCGTCCGGTCGGCAAGGCCGAACCTCGCCGTGGGTCGCGACGAGCCTCGCCGTATCCGGGCGAGGCCGTCGCGACCCACGGCGAGGTCGGCCTTGCCCAAATCTGGCGAGGCCGAGCCTCGCCGTCGCAACCCACGGCGAGGCTCGGCCTCGCCGGATCTGGGCGAGCCGTCGCGACCACGGTAGGTCGGCCTCGCCCAAATCTGGAGAGGCCGAGCCTCGCCGTCACGACCCACGGCGAAGTCGACCTCGCCGTGGGTCGCGACGGCGAGGCTCGGCCTCGCCAGATCTGGGCGAGGCCGACCTCGCCATGACCGACGGCGAGCCGCCTCGCCCAGGCGGTGAGGGTCCAGCCCTCGTCCTCGCCTCCGCCGGCGGCCGGCGAGGGCCGTGACACCCTTGCCGGCCCTGGGCCGACCGGCCACAACCCAAGAAGAGCAACACAAAAAGAAGAAAAGAAAAAAAAAGAAAAAAAAACTGATTCTCAAAATTGTGCCGAGAAACAAGAAGCAACTTTTTTTTACTTCTTGTTTCTCTTTCAAAACTGTTTCTCGGCACAAATATTTGCAAAAATGTACCCGGGAATAAAAAGTTTACCAAACGCATTTCTGTTCCCAAACTATTTCTGGGAACAAAAGAACAGAAATTTTCACTGTTTGGCACATTACCAAACGGGCCCTAAGACACACCCCAGTAGTTACGGCCGGAGTTAAAGCTAGGGTTGTTTTGGGAATTTTCTATGGGTACGGGAATTTGGAATAACAATTTTGGGGAGGTAAATGGCAATTTCTAAGTAAAACCATGCAAATTGGTAGCCATAGTTCAGGGCAAACCGGTCATTTTCAGTGGGGACGCCCTCCTGTATTTCCCCATTCTATTATAATAAGCATTCAGGCGTCAACCGAACTAACGGCATTTTTGCATGCCTTCGCTTTCAAAAGTTCTTCTTGGCGCCAAAACTAACAACTCTAACAAACTCAACCGCGCGCTGCCCACTCATTCAAAAGAAACAAGAACTGAAAGGAATAACTCTGCTTGATCCGTGCCTTCCTCTTCAAAAGAAGATCTCCTCCTTATCAACTCAGGCCGACACCGGTGGAGACGGCACAGTTCAGAACCTCGTCTCGAGATTGGCTTAAAGCTGGGAGGGTAGCTATGGATCGGTCCAGGAGTCGAAGCCGTAAAGGCAACACTCCTCCAATCCCAGAACAGGTACTTCCATTTGTTCTTGGAAATGGGTTGGTTTAGTAGGAAAAAGTGTGAAGATGCAAGTCAAATCCCATGTTCAATAGTTCACAAACTTTGGGCTATTCTTGCTTTGAGGTTTGAGAAAATTCAATTCCAAGGAACAATCAGTGTCGTTCTTATTTTTGTGTTTGTTCAGCAAAATTAAACAGAGCAAAAGGGTCAAACAAGAGATTTTGGTGGGTCGTCTTCGGCTATTTTATTAGCTGAAGAGAAAAAGGGGAAATTTTCGTCTGTCAGATTATATGTTATGAAGCTTTTGGGTACTATGCAGTCAGTTCAGTAATTCACCATGCAAGTTCCAAATATGTACTGAAAATTTGATTGTCTCAGGTTCAGATTGATGATTCTCCGGTGTACAGAATAGAAAGAAAACTGGGAAAGGGAAGCTTCGGGGAAGTTTATGTGGGTCGAGCCATCAGCCCTTCAACTTCATGTGATCAAACTGGTTTGGAAGCAGCAGAGGTATGGCTCTCATTTTATCCTTTTCAGATAATTCATTACATCGGCACTGTTACTTTACATGATTTAATGCAACACTATCTAGGTTGCCATAAAACTCCAGCATAAACACGGCAAAGGACGTGAAGGTGGCATCCCTACTGAGTGGAAAGTTTATGAGTGAGTCCTATAGTATTATTGTATGTACAATTTTGCTATATCGTGCTCTTGCACATGAAATTGGATTAGGTCGCTGAATTTTGCATCTGCGTTCTGCATATTGCACAGTGATCTGGGCGAAGGTCATGGCATACCACTGCCACAAGTACATTACAGGGGGCAACAAGGTGATTATCATGTCATGGTATGTGCATCCCCTTCAACCCGGACTTTATTCTATTAGAATGCAGAGCTTTCAATGATCTTCTCCATATATGCAGATCATGGATATGCTTGGACCTAGTTTACAAGCCACTTTGGACAACGTTATCCCAAAGTATATTTCCCCATGAAGTTAACAGCTTTTACTGTGTCTGCTCTTCAGGTTTTCTTAAAAAATCTTGGATTCTTTTGTCAGCTTTTGATATTAGCTCTTTCTTTGCTACTTCAGCTTGCCATTGGAAGCAATTGCATGTATTGCCGTTGAAGCTATCTCTATACTTGAGAAGTTGCACTCTAGAGGGTAATAGCTGACTAGCTTCCAACCGCATGTTTGTTAGAATTTTCTTTATCGAAAGGTCAAATCAAAGTTTTGGTAGACCAGACTATCGTAAATATATGCTAGGTTCAACTTTTGTGATGTTTCTCATGCATGCTTCTTATTCGGGCAGATACATCCATGGTGACGTAAAACCAGGTAACTTTTTGCTTGGTCCTCCGGGGACTCCCGAAGAGAAAAGATTGTTTCTGACTGACCTTGGATTAGGTATCTGCCAATTGCACAAATACTTTTATGCCCTATATATTAGTGATTGAGAAGGAGAAATGCACATGTCTCATCGTTTATTCATGACCTTGCAGCTACAAGATGGCAAGATCCCTCCACCGGTTCGCACGTTAAGTACAACCAAACTCCAGATGATTTCAGGTTCAGTCAAAATAATGTTAACATCTTCATTTGCACATATCACATGCCCTAATTGTGTAATTACTGTTCCATGCACCACAAAAAAACAATTCGTTGCAGAGGAACAATTCCATTTGCAAGTGTGCACACTCAACTTGGTAGAACGAGTAGCAGAAGAAATGACCTAGAGTCTCTGGTTTACATGCTTGTTTATCTTATCCGCGGTCATTTGCCCTGGCAAAGTGATCAGGTTTCATTCCCTATACCCAGAGAAGATTTCTTGAACCATACACCTGTATCGGTCTTTTGATCACCACAGTTTTTTCAGGGAGAGGATAAAGCTTTCCTTGTTTGCAAGCGAAAGATGGCCACTCCTCCATACTCCTTGTGTTACACTTGTCCCAAGCCTTACCTGCAGTTCACCACGTTTGTGCTTAATCTGAAATTCGATGAAGATCCAAACTATGCTAGATATATTTCTCTCTTCCAATGGATTATTCGTGAAAATCCATACGTTTGGCCCGTGCACATCGATTTCACTCAAGAGGTAGTATCCTATTCCAGTAAAAAGCAATAGGCGTCAATGAAATTTCCCATTTGAGCTCGTACTGTAATTGAGCCATGTCCTTCTCTTCATGTGATATGCACATATCAGGTACCATGTAAGCGAGCGCGGTTAAACGACGACGACGACCCATCAAAGAAAATACGGATGGGGTTGAAAGTACCACAATGGATAAGCGTTTACGACGGGCATCCACCCATGAAGCAAAGGTAAGGACTTGCATTTCAGATTTATATAGTTTTTCTGGGGTACCTTGAGTTTATTGATAATCTTCCTCCTTCTCGCAGATATTTCTCTAATTTGGCCGACGCCAACCTCTCCTCACACTTTCAGATGGGACATGTGAAGGGACCGTATGTCACCAGTGTGGCTTACAATCCTGACTCAAAGTCATGGGTCTTAATAATGGATGATAGAGCCGGCTACACTGCTCAAAGAATTTATGGTTTTTCACACCGTTCTCTTCCCGAGGTTTTATTTGAGCGGCTTTACTTTGGACTTTCATCTTTAGTAGATCCCAATAGTTGCATGTTACAATCCTGATAACACGTAACCGAAAGAATTTTTGTGTTAGACCCATTAGGAACACAGATACATCAACCTCTTATAGTGGGATCTCAATTAGTACTGTCTTGACTGCTTATTTCCTTATTTGAAGGAATGGATTAGGGACTATTGGTCAAAGAACTACCACATCACTGCAGTGGCTGGAGCAGATGACGGCAGATTTTTAATTGTAATGTCCAAGGGTCTGTCCGTGAATGCTTGATTTCTGTTTCAGTGACTCCTTAGTAACTGTCATACTCTACCATTTACCAGTTTTTCTTTATATGCACGTAGGGACCCAGAGTGTTCAGCAGTCTTATCATGTTGCTAACAAATTCCCTTTCAACTGGATCAAGAAGCAGTGGGCAGAAGGTTTTCATGTCACCGCCATGGCCACTTCCAGGAGACAGTGGGCAGTAGTTTCGTCCAACGGAACCGGATTTACTAACCAGGTTCTTGTTTCTTCTCCTCCTTTTATGAGACTACCCGATTACTCCTCATTTCAAGATTTTCCTTTGAAGTGTCTGGAACCGGAAGAGTTTGCTCTGATTCGGTTTATTGCACTAAACTTTTAAGGCCATAGAGCTAGACTTTCAGTATCCTGAGGAAGGCATTCATGAAAGGTCGAAGCAGGGCTATTACATCACTTCAGTCGTGGCCACTTCGGATAAGGTTGCTGTTATAATTAGTATTCCAGAAGGAGTACCAGCAACCGCGAGTGTAGATCAAGAGACGCTCCTGACTTTCGGTTTTCCTGTTGATAGTAAGATCAAGGTGATTAGTTTGGCCCTTTTACCAGCATTTTATTCGTTGTGTTATGTCACGCCCCGAACCCCGTCGGGCACGCGACACCCTTACCTGGTCGATTTGTGCGACGTCCCAGGAATGTCGCCGACCTCAAATCGCCATCAGAGATTTACAACCACAGCGGATACTAACAAATAATCCCTGACAAATAAAACTGGGGAGAATAGGGAGAATACACATATTTCTTTTCATTACCAACTTATAAAATATTCACAACTTACAACCGCCACATTTTACCACCATCGCATACACTTGCTCCCCGTGCTACAAACCATCGATATACCAAAAAGATCGATGACCTGACTTTCTATCCCAAAAATGTTACTTTCCAAAAACCTACTAGGAACCCCTGTACTAACCCCTATGCCCCTTACTAGGCGTCCATTCTGAGTCTGATTCTTCATCTTCTGACTCCGAACTCTCCTGAGCAGTTTGCTCCTCCGAGGACTCCGGTTCTGCCTCGATCACAATCGGGTGATTGATGTCGCCCGACTCAGCTGGAGCTGCGTTCTGATACTCCTCAGCCAGAAAATCAAAGAAATTATACTCAGGCACGTAATTGGGATCCATGTATTTCTCAAAAGGAAGTATATACTCCGGGTCTCCTACCGGCTCTTCAGACTCGCCAGGTTCGTCCTCGGGTTTTACTTCGGGTTCTACCTCATCCTCTGCTTCCTCTGGTTCTTCCTCGGGGATCGGTTCCAAATTGATGTCCATTGGATCGTCTTCAGCTTGCGACGCTTCGGGCTCGGGTTCGTGCTCAGCCTCTGAAGATCCCTGAGCTGCGGCCGCTGATTGCAAACCCGACTTAGCTAAACTAGTATCCACACTAGTTAACTCTTCGTCTATCGGGGGTACAGCAGTTGGGTCCAAATCCCCAACTAAATCAAACGGAACATCGAAACCCCTAACGGGCCCAAACTCATCCCCGTCAGCATCCCGGAAGAACCAAGCCGTATATACATGAGTCTCCCAAAGAGGTAGTCCTACCTCTATAAATACGGTAGTAGTATACTTAATCCAGGTCATTCCATCTCCCATTGGAAACTCTGCAACGTCCAACTCGGAGTGCACGGGTACCCCAAAATGCTCTGGTGGCTGCGGTGGAGGATTCATGGTTCCTGTCGGGGTTTTGAAAATGTTGGTTGAAACAACCATGAGAACACTTCTCAGCAAGTTCACCCCTAAACCTCACCTAGGCTATCACGTACCTCCAGACAATTTCACAAAACACAATCACACACCTACACCACATAATCACATAGCAGGCACATCAATGCAATCGCAAACATGCACAATTCTCATGTCATGCGCTCGTTCCGTTTTCATCATATCTCCTCCACATTCCTCGCCAGTGACCCGCGTAAACGTACACGCCTCAGGTACACTGAGACCTCTTTCCACAACACTTCCAGGCCCGCGTAAACGTACACGCCTCAGGCCATATTTCTTGCCCGCGTAAACGTACACGCCTCAGGCTCAACACCTACCACCTACTGCATAACCCGCGTTGAAGTACACGCCTCAGGCTAGCAGTCTTCCGGTAATACCGGGCATCGTCCCGCGTAAACGTACACGCCTCAGGACGGCACAATTCCCACAATCTCACATATCGTACCACGCACTATTTTTCATTCTTTCACACATGCAACAATCACTTGCCACATAATTGGTCAATCGGACGTGACCCGTGCACGCAATAATTATACACAAACCATGCTCACTCAGCATTCAGCACGGCCAATTTTAATAATTAAAACAATCTGGCCCAAGCGTGCACCCAACAAACATAATTAACTCAACCAATCGCACAATCACACATTTAATTCCACCACCACAATCTAATTATTTTCAAACGCACGTTAAACACAGAAATCATTATTTTCCTCCCACCAAACGACACCAAATCGATTCCGGTCCTTCACGGGACTTTCTCACCATAAATTCTCGGTTCTAAAAATCCAACTTGCGTCCCGATCGGCCCATCACGGCCCCATGAACAGTAGACCACAGCCACTGTTATTTTAGAATTTCCAATAAATATTGCCCGAGTTAAATCCCACGGCCCGCCATAAAATTTCTACTCCTAATTCATGCAATTCCGCACCTAACTTTTACCAGATTTCGCCCAAAAATCTCCCGTCGATACCCGACGTCCTAAATTGGGTTTAGAGCGCGACTTACCCGCGTTCTAGGCTATCGCGGCTAGAACGGAAAGCGGCGGCACTTAATCGGGAACGGCGGCACTTAATCGGGAACGGCGACGACGACGTACGGCTCCCGGGTGGTGGCGATCGGCTTGGGTGGCGACGGCGCGGCTTGGGCGGTGACCGGTAAGGCTCACGGCCAAAGGGAGGACCGAAAAGGAAGAGAGAGAGAACGGCGGGATGGGGGCGGCGTGAGGGGTGCGAGGCGGCGCGGCGGTGGCGCGGCGCGGCACGGCGGCGATCCGAGCGGCGGCGCGGCGGCGATCCGAGCGGCGGCGCGGCGGTGATCGGCAAAGAGAGAGAGAGAGTATACGGTGGAGGGGGAGGAGCTCACGGCAAGGGGAGAAATTTCACGGCGAAAGGGGGAAAAGAAGAGAGAGGAGAGAGAGAAAGGGGGGTCAGGGGCTACTTATCCAATTTTGACCATATTTTGGCAATTTACCAAAATACCCTTGCCCTTTAAAACATGCCCTTTGATAATTCTCAAGGGTAAAATGGTCCGATTCTCCGTTTCTCATCAAAATCAAGTTTTTCTGAAGGATTCGGGCACAACAAAAATTGCACGTTACAACCGCAACGTCGTCCTAACGTCCCGTTGTGACTTCCAAATTTTCCGGTGTCCGATTTGGGCTGAATTAAATAATTCAATTCTATTAAACGTAACTCGAGCGTTTCTCAAACTAACGGGCGGCTTGTTGGGGAAATTCGCTTATTCGACCCGTGACTAACACTAAATCGAGTCACGTGCAATTTATTCAGACCGTCACGACTTCAGTTGTCAATAAAATCGCGAGGATCAATTACTAGATCCGTGGGGCACGATCATTCGGTATAGGTTCAGGATCTTTCGTCAATTCATTTCGTGGTCCAGCGGTATCACCCGTGATCCACTACTATGACAGTGGCGAACTGATCCCTGACTACCCTTAGATCGGCCAACAGTGGCTCAAAATATCACCTCGACGATTTAATGGTCGAAAGTCAATCCACGATCGAATTTTCTTTAGTCGTACGAATTTAATTCCCCGATTAGCCTTTCCCTAATGGTTAGCATCCCAGGAATGATCAGTTCCGGGCGAGAACTAACTACGAGTACATTCATAAAACTCAGTATTTTATAAATCCCAAACGGACTATTTTTCAAGATGTCACATGTTAGCTCTGCTTCACCAAGCACTTTTTCTCATCTTCTGTAGGAGAAGCAGGCAAGGAATTACTATATTTCTTCTCTTTGCTATGGTCGAACCATTGCCGTGCAACCAAGGATTTCTTAGGAAGCGACACGACCGCTCCGCTTGCGTTTTTTGCCTTCTATTGCCGATTTCATAGGAAGCAACTTCAACAAGTCACTTCCTCTAATGCCGTAAGGAATTGATTGAAACATCTTTGTCAAACTTTTGTGCAGGAAGTTTTTTGTATTGATTCTGAACCTTTTCAAGCTTAAAAAAAAAACAAGAGAAGGAGTCCTACATTTGGTAAATTTTGCCAAGAGGTAAACAACTTTTCTCCATGAGACGCAACAGTTCATGACAATTGTTGCAGGACGCGATGGGACTCAATCGCATGGATTGTTGGTCTTGTATGATTGCAGTTTCAGAAACCAGACTAGCCAAACATCCACGACATAATTCGTAACTTCAGCAAAAACACCGACCTTGTAACCAGAGGTTGACCTCGCATTGACCTTACATATGCATAAATGCAACTGGCTTAGTGTTGGTGATAAACTATACATTAAACTGTCAGCGGGCGGAGGAATTTAGGAACATCAGGGTTGGAAGGAGCTGGCATCAAAGATGTAATATATACAGAGGAACGACCCCTCTCTGAATACTAAGCAATTGCAGACAAAGTAAGGATCTGAGTGCTCGAATTTCTATCTGCTTGTTCGCTACATTGTGTCATTTAAGCTTATCAGCAAAAAGAAATCTGTTGAAAATAGAGAGAGATAACCCGAGATGGTCGCTTTCCGGCAAACAATAATCATCATTTTAGGTCTGCTCTTAGTTCAGAGCAATAATGTCACGAGATGTCATCCAGACACGAGTCGGTAAGCATAATCTGCAATGGGGACAATTTCATTTCTCGGGACCATACCATGATGCTGTGTATATAGTCCTCAATGATTTGGCTGCAGAGACCGCAAATTACGATCATCATTATTGCAACTACAGTGTGATGAATGAACATGTTACCGTGGTCTGCTATGGCTACGGCGCACGCCATTGACTTTCACGTGATCATACTGCTTGCATGAAGCTCGCCGTCGACCAGATACGATATAGATGTCCACTTGCTGTGGGGGCTCAACTCCAACTTCATTACTGGGCTCAACTACTCAGTCTGTTGAATGATCAAGCGGTTTGAGAGACATTGCTTGACAAGACCATCTCTCTTGTTACTTTACCATTGTTTTTTATCCTATCTTCTTTGCAATGAAGGTTACAACTTTGAAAAAAATTGGATATTTGACTATGTTATGCAAGATTAAGCATTTTGCTGTCGCGTAGATTTCAATTAAGAAAAAGGAAAATAACAATTATCATTCTTATTTTTCACATTGTACCGCTTTGCGCTCTATATCTGAAACTAAACATTTTAGGGGAGGTAAATGGCGATTTCTAAAGAAAAACCATAACGGTCACTAATGTCCGGTGCGACGCGAATTGGTAGCCAATAACTCGGGGCACGAACCGGTAATTTTGGTAAATAGAGGGTGAAAATTGACATTAGCGTAAAACATGAGGATGCCCTAATGCAATGTCCCAATAAATTATCATAAGCAATCACACGTCAACCGAAATAACGGCATTTTGGCATATCCTCGCCTTCCAAAGTTCTTTCTTCGCGCCAAAAAAATTAACAGACTCTCGCCTCGCGCTGCCTACTCATTCTCTTCAAGAACCCGCAGCATCTTCTTCAAGAAAAAGAAGAAACGAGATTGGAAAGGAAGAATTCTGCTTGGATCTTCCCATTCTCTTCCAACGAAGATCTCCTCGATATCGGAGCTCGGTTGAGACCGGTGGGGAAAACACGGTTCGGAACAAGCAAGATTTAGATTAAAGCTTAGGAGGGCAGATTATGGATCAGTCTGGAAGTCGAAGTCGGGAAGCCGACGAGGGGCTTCAACACAAGTTCCGAAGGAAGACTCCTCCAATCCCAGAACAGTTACTTGGATTGTTCTTGAAAATTGGTTGTTTAATGGAGACAGAATGAAAAATGCGAGTCGAATCCGATGTTCGTTAGTTTGCAAATATTGGACCGTTCTTGCTTTTCGGTTTGAGAAATTCATTTCCAGGGAGCAATCAGTGCAGTTCTTGTTTTTGAGTTGATTCGGCGAAATTAAACGGAGCAAAAGGGGGAAACATGACAAAGATTTTTTTTTTTTTGGTCATGACAAAGATTTTGGTGGGTCATCTTTGGCTATTATATCGGCCAAAGAGAAAAAGGGAAACTTTCATCTAATTCAGATTGATAACTAAAATCCCCGTGCAAGTTCCATAAATTTAGTTTCTGTCATCAACTACTTTTGCTCCAATTCAAAACTCCATGGATCACTGTATCAAATTATATGTTACCAACAGTTGTTAAGTTTTTAGGTACAATGCGATCAGTTCGATGTTTCACCATGCAACTTCCTAATATCTACTGATAATTTGATTGTCTCAGGTTCAGATCGATGATTCTCCAGTGTACAGAATAGGAAGAGAACTGGGAAAGGGTAGTTTCGGGCATGTTTATGTCGGTCGAGCCATCAGTCCTTCAACTTCAAGTGATCAAACGGGTGTGGAAGCCGCAGAGGTATGGCTTCGAGCTCCAATTTTTTCGATGAATTCGTTACCTTTGCACCATTACTTCACATGAAATAATGCGGCACTATCCAGGTGGCCATAAAATTCGAGCATAAAGACAACATAGGATGTGAATGCGGCATCCCTCATGAGTGGAAAGTTTATGAGTGAGTCCTTTGGAATAATTGCATGAACGATTTTGCCATGCCACGATCTTGCATGTGAAATTGGATGTGGGTGTTGAATTTCACATCCGAGTTCTGCATTTTGTGCAGTGATCTGGGTGAAAGTCATGGCATACCACTGCCACGAGTACATTACAAGGGACAACAAGGTGACTATCATGTCATGGTATGTGCATTCCCTTTGACTCGTATTCTGTACTTCTACAATGCAACGTTTTCCATGATCTTCTTCGTACATGCAGATCATGGATTTGCTTGGACCTAGTATACAAGCCCTTTTGGTCAACAACTTGCCAACGTATATTTCCCCATTAAGTTAACAGCTTTTGCGGTGTCTACTTTTCAGGTTCTGTTAAACAATATCTGATTCTCTTTCAGCTTCTGAGTTTTCTCCTTCCTTACTACTTCAGCCCACCAATGGAAGCAATTGCATGTATTTCCGTTGAAGCAATCTCTATACTTGAGAAGCTACACTCTAGAGGGTAATAGCTGACTAGATTCCAACCGCATGTTCTTTAGTTTTTTCTCTATTGAGCGGTCAATTAAGGTTTTGCTAGACCAGACTATCCGAAATATATGCGAGGTTCAGCTTTTGTGATGTTTCTCATGTACACTTCTTATCCGGCCAGGTACATCCATGGTGACATAAAACCAAGTAACTTTTTGCTTGGTCCTCCAGGAACTCCTGAAGAGAAAAAATTGTTTCTGACTGACCTTGGATTAGGTATCTGCCAATTGCACGAATACTTTTATGCCCTAGATATTAGTGATTGAGAAGGAGAAATGCACATGTCTCATCGTTTATTCATGACCTTGCAGCTACGAGATGGCAAGATCCCTCCACTGGTTCGCACGTTAAGTACAACCAAACTCCAGATGATTTCAGGTTCAGTCAAAATAGTGTTAACATGTCCATTTGCACATATCACATGCCCTAACTGTGTAATTACTGTTCCATGCACCAAAAACTAATTGATGCAGTGGAACAATTCGATTTGCAAGTGTGCACGCTCAACTTGGTAGAACAAGTAGCAGAAGAAACGACCTAGAGTCTCTGGTTTACACGCTCGTTTATCTTATCCGCGGTCGTTTGCCTTGGCAAGGACATCAGGTTTCATTCCCTATACCCAGAGAAGAGTTCTTAAACCAAGCACCTGCGTCGGTCTTTTGAATGCCACAATTCTTTCAGGGAGTGGATAAGGCTCTTGTTTGCAATCAAAAGATGGCCACTCCTCCGGACACCCTGTGTGACACTTGTCCTGAGCCTTACCTGCAGTTCACCGCGTTTGTGCTTAATCTGACATTCGATGAAGAACCAAACTATGCTAGATACATTTCTCTCTTCCGTGGGATCATTGGTCAAAATCCATACATTTGGCCCGTGCACACTCATGTTGCTCAGGAGGTAGTATCCTATTCCTATGATAAGCAATAGATGTTCATAAAATTTCTGATTCAAGCTTGTTGTCTGATCAAGCCATATCTTTCTCTTTCGTGTGATACACACGCATCGGGTACCATGTAAGCGAGCGCAGTTAAATGATGTCGGCGAGCCATCAAAGGAAATTCGAATGGGGTTGAAACTAACACAATGGATAAGTGTTTACCAGGTGCATCCACCCATGAAGCAAAGGTGAGGACTTGCATTTCAGATTTATTTATTTTTTTTGGTACCTTGAGTTTATTTATAATCTTCCTCTTTCTTGAAGATATTTCCCTAATTTGGAAGATGAGGACGTGCCCTTACACATTGAGAAGGGAAGTGAGGAGGGAATGTTTGTCACCAGTGTGGCTTACAGTTCTCGCTCTAAGTCATGGACCGTAATAATGGATGATAGCACCGGCTTCATTGCTCAGTTTTGTGCTTTTTCACACGACTCCCTTACCAAGGTTCTATTTTGAGTGGTTTTACTTTCGACTTTCATGCATGGTAGATCCCAATCGCTGCATGTTAAATCCTGATGATACGTACCGGGAAGAAGTTTTGCATTAGACCTATTGGGACAATCTTGACTGCTTATTTCCATATTTGAAGGATTGGATTAGGGAATTTTGGGCGAAGAACTACTACATCACTGCAGTGGCTGGAGCAGATGGCGGCAGATTTTTAGTTATAATGTCTAAGGCAGATGTAGGTCCGTGAATGCTAAATATCTATTTCGATGACTAATTAATAAGGTTATACTTTACCATTTGACCGGTTTTTCTTGATATACACATAGGGATGAAGAGTATTCGGCAGTCTTATCGTGTTACCAGTAAATTTCCTTTCAAGTTGATCAAGAAGATGTGGGCAGAAGGTTTTCATGTCACCGCCATGGCCACTGCCGGGAGTCAGTGGGTAGTAGTTTTGTCCAGTGGAACCAGATTTACCAACCAGGTTCTTCTTTCTTTCTCCTTTTCCGAGACTGCCCAATAACTCCTCACTTCAAGACTTTCCTTTGACGTGTCTGGAACTGGAAGATTTTGCTCTGATTCGGTTTCTTGCGCTACACTTTTAAGGCCGTAGAGCTAGATTTCCAGTTTCCAGCCGAAGGAATTCATGAAAGGTGGAAACAGGGCTATTATATCACTTCGGTCGCGGCCACTTCGGATGAGGTTGCTTTTATCTTTAGTAATATAGGAGGAGTGCCAGCAACTGAAAGTGTAGAGCAAGAGACACTTCAGACCATAAATTTCCCGGATGATAACATGATCGAGGTGATTAGTTTGGCCCTTTTACCAGCATCTATTTGGTTCAGTAGCTCTGCTTCACCAAGAACTTGTTCTCATCTTCTGCAGGAGAAGCGGGCAAGGAATTACTATATTGCTTGTCTTTGCTACGGTCGAACCGTTGCTTAAGCTACCAAATATACGTGCAATCAAGGACGTCTTAGCAAACGAGACAACCGCTCTGCATGCCTTTTTTGCCGTCTATTGCCCATTTCTTAGGAAGCAAGTTCAACAAGTCACTGATCAAGCCTGTATAGAATTGAATAATAGCCACTTCCTCTTATACCGTATGGAATTAATTGTACCCTCTTTGTCATACTTTTTTGCAGGAAAGTTTTAGTACTGATTCTGAAACCTTTTAAGCTTACCAACAACAACAACAACAACAAAATGCAAATTAGGACTACATTTGGTAAGTTCTGCCAAGAGGTAACCAACTTCTATACATGAGACGCAACATTTCTTGACAAAAATTTCGGTACACGTTAGTATTCAATGTTGTGGATTGTTGGTCTTGCACGGTTGGAGTTTCGGAAACCAGAGCAGTCAAAGAACCCGACTTGATTCGTAACTTCAGCGAAAACATCCATTTGGCACCAGAGGTTGACCTAGTGTTGACCTTATATATGCATAAATGTAACTAGACAAAAGTTCATGAATTTCGCAGAGAAGTTCTGCATTAGTTTTCTACTAATACTCGATCACAACAAGGGAGAAACAACAAAGTCGACCAACTTAGTTTTGGGGATCATTTCAAGTGACACATTAAACTATCAGCGGGAGGAGAAATTTAGGAACATCAGGGTTGGAAGAAGCTGTCATCAGAGAAGTATATATGCAGAGGAATGACCCCTCCTCTGTATACCAAGCAGTTGCAGACGAAGTAAGGGTCTGAGTGCTCGATTTTGCATCCGCTTGTCTGCAGACAAAGTAAGGATCAGCAAAAATCTGTGGAAAATAGAGCTAACCACAAGATGGTCGCTTTCCAACTAACAATAGTCATCATTCTGGGGCTGCTATTAGTTCAGAGCAATAATGTTGAGAGATGCGGTCCAGACACGACATTGTCAAGCATAATTTGCAATGGAGACCATTTTCTTTTTCTGGGGGTCATACCATACTGCATTGTACATAGTCCTCAGTGATTTGGTTGCAGAAACCGCAAATTACAATCATAGTTATAACAAAATCAACAACGTGATGAATGAACATGTTCCTGCCATCTGCTATGGCCACAGTGCATGCTATGGAGTTTCAAGGGATCATTGCACTGCTTGATTTAAGTTCACCGTCGACCAGAAACAATAGCGATGTCCACTTACTGTGGGGGCTCATCTCCAACTTCAGTACTACAGAGTCAGACACGAAAATAACTCAGTTAGTTGAATGATCAAGCGGTTTGAGAGAATCCTGGACAAGACCATCTCTCGTTACTTTAACATTGCTATTATCCTATCTTCTTTGCAATGAAGGAAATCTTTGAGAATGGATATTTAATCTTTGATCACTGCACCTCGTGCATTAAGTTTGCCATCGACCAGATAGCATATAGATGTACACTCGCCGTAGGGGCTCAGCTCCAACTTCAGGGACTGCAGAGTCACATACGAATACTCAGTTTGTTCAATTATCAAGTGGTTGGGGAAGACCATCTGTCTTGCTATTTTACTATTGAAGTTATCCCATCTTTGCAATGACGGTTAAAACTTTGCTTGCTTGACAATATATATAAGATGAAAAAGAACCATGTTAGCATTGCAACTTTTGAAGATATAAGATTAATTTAAATGGGGTCATTGATTATCTCGCCTCAAGGTCTGCCCATCATATTTTTGGTTTCGTGTTCTTGGTCATGAAGAAGGAAAACTACGGCATATATGAAGTCCAATCATAAAATGAGTAAGATAGCCAACTTCATGCTGGTTAACCCTTCCAAGGACAGCCCATCACCACAAACTTTTTCATACAAGAATCAAAACCTATGCTTTATCACAGTTGCATATTAACATCTGCCCAATCAGTTGTATCAAGCAGCATCACAGCAAATACACATGTATTCGCAGATATAAGTGCCGCTGAAATTGAAAACTCTACTATATATGTTATTTACCAAAAACCTATCATCAAGGGCAACAGAGAACCATCAAACCAACAAAATTTGCCCCTTCAACCCTTAACAACATGTCCCAGCAACCATAGACAGAAAGCAAGCTGAGAAGAAGAAGAAGCAGCCTACTGGATCCCTGAGAACAGAGTTTAAGTATGAAATCATCTGTCATGCCGACGTCCAGCACAATCTCCTCAAGTGAACTCTCTCCTGGTAAAGAGAAACTATTTCAGCATAACAACAATCTCAAAAAAGACAAAGGTGCATATACGGAAGCAGAATGTCAAGCGTCATGTACACGCGCCTCGGTGTTATCATGATCGTATTGTATCAAGAAGAGGCACCTACAGCCCCTAATATCATGCATTCTCCTCTGAATTCCTACAACATGAGCATCATAATAAATTGCTTGATCCCTCCTCTCCTGAAGTTAAAGAAATTGTAAACGAAACAAAAAAAAAAAAGAGAGATCAGATAAGTGCCTTAATATGGACAGTAAATTAATATAAATGAGTAACATAAACGGGTTGCATCTATAAACACCTGGAAGCAGAGGACAAGGTCTCCAACTTTAACCTTGTGACATTCCGAATTCTCCAGTGGGACTGAGCGCTGTCTAATATTCTTTTTCACATTAATCCATTCATCCTCCTCAGCCCCAAACCCAACAAATCTGACAAGAACTTCCTTTAAGAAATGGCAAATTGTTATGAATTAACGCGACTAGTAGGACAAAACATAAACAGCTTGTTTGTTAAGATTCTTGTATAGACACTTACAGCTTCACCTGAGCCTAGAAACCTGTGGCCAAGAAACTTATCGACGTCATACCTGCATGGAGAAAAGTCTTTCAGCGACTCTTATACTCCAGTTGAAAAGGGAACTTCCATATATTTGTACATATACAACACAAGCAATATTGAATCTAACCCCAAATTCCATGTGCACAAGATTAGTTATAAATGAAATTTAGTATATAATCACCAAATCAAGCAGTTGGCTGCTTCAGGGTGAGATTAAACAGCATAAAATTTCATAATAGGAGGCAGAGTACTGTTATACTCCAAGGAGATTATTAGCTCAACTTTCATGGCCAAGGTATTAAATGAACAAGCAGCCTTGTCAAGAGAGTACTGTCAGGCTCACATTACATAATCGAGTTTTTAGCTAATAGCTGTCCATTGAGCCTTTACACCTCAACAGATAATGTTCATGAGAGTCTGTTAGGCTCACACCACATATCCGAGCTTTTAGCATAGCTATCCATTGAGCCTTTATACCTCAAAAAAATAATGTTCACAATCTGATTAAAGAAACAAAAATGTTGGCAATAGAGCCTTTACTTCAGATGACTGAGCTATTACCATGCCCCATCTTTTGATGACTTGGCCTCAAATTCCAATTCTGATAAGTCTGCAATCTTTTGCCCTGCTATTGAAACAGCAACACAAATAAGGCACTCCTATTAACAAGATCATTCCCTTACCAGTCAACTTCAAAACTACAAAATTGTTTGTACTTGTAATCACTAGCAAGCAAGAGGAAAATATAAAACTAGGGTCCAAAAGGTATATTCAGCATCTGGCTTTAGAGATAACTAGATCCCGCACACAAGCTGCGCAAATGCAGAGTGCGCATAGTCTTTGTTCCTTTTGCGCAAGATAGACATTACAATTTTTCTAAAATCAATTCGCTTGCATATATATTAAAAGAAACCCATTAGTCTATTCCTATATAATAGGAGTTGGAAGATTTTTATTTGTAGAGGCAGTTACAGATGGACTTGGAATGTGGACAAACATGCGTAATGGAGGGTGAGGCGACATTTAATGCCTAATGGAGATGGAGAGTGATGGATTGATGCATTTGTGCACGTATATACTTCCCAAATTAATTTACATTTTCAGCCCAAACTTGATAAACTATGATTTGTTTAAGTGGTATCCTTGAAAGCCACTAAAAGTAAGAAAAAACCCATTTTCCGCTTAAAATTTATACACGTTTCATGAATTTAGTTAATATTAACCTGTTTGACAATGCTAAGTTACGAAGCTGAATTACCACATTTTCCACATTCTAGTACTTTATATTGCTACTTCCAAGCATCCTTACCTTGCTAGAAGAACTTTTCCAATTTGACATTAGAGTTAAGGAAAGAATTATGTGGTGACTTAAGTTATTTCTATAATTCACACTATATAACCAAGTATGAGCAAGGTAGCTTCAGCTAGAGAATATCTTCTTTCCACATAAGCGGGAGATACATGGAACGGCATTAAATGATTGTCTATTAACCCACCTAAATAATCACACAAATTCAAATTTATCTGAAGGATATATACATTTGAATGATGCAACAGGAGCATAAGAACCTTTAGGCATTGGAGAATTTTCATTTGCTTTATCATTAGGGCAATTTGCTGGAGTCTCAGACTCATTCTTGCCAGAATTACGGGCAAAAATAACTTTGGGTTGCTCTTGTTGCCTCTTCTCGAACCAACTCTGGACCTAGCAAGTTCACAAACACAGAGACACACGAGCAGCAAATCTACAATTAGATGTGAGGATAAGAAGCTGAAGACCCACAGTGCAGGTGAAAATTCTCAGTACCTCCATCCACTTTATCAAAGGCTTTCCAGCTCGACCAGCAGAGCGACTGTGAGTACAAGAGGACAAGACAGGAAATTAGTTACTAAATGAGAAGCAGCAGAATGAAATTTTTAGGAAACCATCCATACATATTGAGAGAAAAAGAAACTGTTCAATTAAATTTTCCAAATAGAGAAAAAGATGAGCTTAAACTTACTTGAAACTAATTGCAATTTTCTGACAAAATTCCTTACTACATATCTCTTCTCCTGATTTTTCCAGCAACTTCTCCAGTTTCTTGATCTGCTGAAAGGGTTATCAGCATCATAGGACTATCTTAAAGTCGATATTAATGCAAATAAAACACACCCTAATTACATAAAAAGATGTGTTTTTCATGGTTTCTGCGATTGTACCCAAGCTTTAAATATTTCAATTCTATCCTAAACTCTGTAGTCAGTTTAAATCTGCCTCTTGCCCACCCCACTCAACATCTGTCCTTGAAAGTTCCATTTGACTAAACTTCATACTACAAATGAGCCTTCTTAATATCAGTGTAGTAGATGAGATATCAAGAGCCAAGAAGGGAACCATAAAGAGCAAGGCAAAAACTAAACAATCTAAGCGATTTCTATTGCAGGGGAAGAATATCCTACCCGTTCTGAAACCCAACAAAAAAAAAATAGCAGACGATGTTCAGTGACCTTCAATTAAGTCCTTCTAAAAGGAGCGAAAGATCCCCCCTGGGGTGTATACACCTGCCTCGTAGGTAAAGCATCCACAGGACACTCAACTAGCCTAGCAAAGAACTCTTTTCCTCTCTTTCACAACCTTCCCAGGCTCTCTGCATTGCCAATGCAAAAATAAGCAAGGGCCTCCTTCTGACCTGGCTTTTGATGGAAATTTTAAGTTTAAAAAAAATGTTTAAAGGGAAATGAAAAGGTTTCAACTTCAAGATGTTATCTTTCTCCATCCCACTTCCAATTATCACTTGTCAATACAATGATTACTTTCCTCTCCAGCTTTTCACCGATAACAAAAAAACTTATTGCCCAATACCTCCAAACGAGTCAAATATTCAACTATAATCCCCTCAACCACTTCCCCAAAAGCCCTACGATCAGCTCACAAATCTTTCTCCGAAAAACAATCGACTATTTTATGCGCCCGCAGTTTCATAAAATCGCGAAAACACGAGGGACAAACTCAGTACAGACATCAGAACTAGCCACATTACCGAACCTTCACTTCACAGACACACGCAAACATCATTCCAAGCAAGCCCCACACAAGTTTCCAGCACATTTTGAAGAGCTAAGCCAATGTCTAGAGTTTATGATTCTTCAAGCTTCTAACAAAACCAAACCCAGATAAAATGAACAAGTCGAGCAAGAGAAAAAACGAAAAAGATTGCACCTTTACCTCGGCACTTGTGAACCCAGAGAAGACCTCCCTGTGCCTTGGACGGAGGCGATCCATTTGCCCTTCAGCAAGTGCGCATTACAGGACAACAGAACGAAAAAGGAGACAAGATTTTGTCAACCTGGGATGTCCCAGTTTTCACCAATCATTTCGGCAACAACTATCTGCAAATGGGATTTTGGACAGGAGCTGTTTGATTACACTGGCGTGACTGCTGATTGGAGAAGACTATAGTGGGTATTGATTGAAAACCCTAGGACGTCATGGGAACCCAAGAAAAGGAAGCGCCTTTACGAGCCAGTTCCTGGCGTTTCGGGCGTTTCTGGCCCGTCTCCTGAGGCTTTTTTTGACTCTTCATGCCACACACTTCGGCATGGGAATGGAAAGATCCGGGAAAAGTGCCAAAAAAACTCTAAACCTTTTGAATTTATGCCAATTTAATCTTAAACCTTTTTTTAGTGCCAATTCAATCCTAAACCTTTTGTATTTATGCTAATTCAGTCCTAAACCTTTTGTCTTTGTGCCAATTCAGTCCTTCCGGTCAATTTTGGCCAGATTTTACTGACGTGGACACCGACCGATCACCAGCGCTAAAGTGGACAACTTTAATAATATTTTAAAATTTTTATTAATTTTTTTCTTTTTATTTTCTCTCCCCTCCCTCCAACCGGTCGCCAGACCGGCGACCGGCCAGAGGCCAATGCCGACGAGGCTCGCCCACGCCGGTCACTAGCGAGGGCGACCTCGCCCAGCCGCCAGCGAGGCTCGACCTCGCCATATCCGGCGAGGGCTCGAGCCTCACCCAGCGCGAGGTCGCCCAGCGCGAGGCCGCCCTCGCCAGTGGCCGGCGAGGGCGAGCCTCGCCAGTGACCGGCGTGGTCGAACCTCGCCGGCGCCGGCCTCTAGCCTCTGGCCGGTCGCCGGTCCGGCGACCGGCTGGAGGGAGGGGAGAGAAAAAAAAAAGAAAAAAATTAATAAAAATTTAAAAAAATATTATAAATATTATAAAAGTTGTCCATGTCAGCGCCGGTGACCGGCCGCCGACCGGTCGGCGTCCACGTCAGCAAAATCCAACCAAAATTGATCGGAATGACTGAATTGGCACAAAAACAAAAGGTTTAGGACTGAATTGGCACCAATGCAAAAGGTTTCAATTGGCACAAAAAAAAAAAAGGTTTGGGACTAAATTGACACAAATGCAAAAGATTTAGGACTGAATTGACACCAAAAAAAGGTTTAGGACTAAATTGGCACCAATGCAAAAGGTTTAGGACTTTTGTGGCACTTTTCCCGGAAAGATCCACCCCCCATGTTTTTACCCCAGAAAGACTAGCCAGATGCGTTCTATCATTCTAAATGTTGCTATCAATGCATTAAATTGCGATGAAATATATATCCATAATCAAACAAACATAGATTTGTTCACTCATCAAAAAAAATATATGAGATATTGAATTACAATATTTTATTAATCATGATGTAAGTAGAGGTAATATTTCGAGCACATAAAATAATGTGAACTAACAAGACATATGAAAGCATAAGGTGATATGTAAATTCCTATCTTCATGGTTGTCCTTCATTTCTAGAAATCCTCAATTTTGTGCCATTGGCTCCGTGTGAAAAATGCGAGAAAGTGATTGATGCCTTTTTCTCATATCTTTGCCCCATTTGCTTTCCTTTCTTATAAAGAGTTAGAGATGGTTCTTCCAATTTCATATATTCCGGGTTTTCTTTTTCATGGAATTTCTCCATTATTGGGTGATCTAGCTTTTACATATTAAATACAAAAAGATAGACAATTCTAAAGTTATTACCAAATTATGCATAAGAACTTGCCCATTTAGACATTTGCCCTAATTAAAAATCTACTAAAGTGACCACAAAAAGTAAGCTACTGAATAAAGCTAGCACATTTGTGTGATTCAACCTCGCATGAGCTTTACTCATTTTTACATATTTCTATAAATGGAAAGAGGAAGTGTACAAGTGATCATGCGACTACTAATACCAACTACTTCAAAACTCTAAGGTTAGATGTGCTTAGTACTACTCACCTTAGGATTGACTCAAAGGTAAGGGTGCTCCCATACCTTCGGCTCTGAATAGTTATGAGTTCGATTTCTGCTCTAATACCTTCCTAGGTACCTGGGTAATTAGGGTCGTGCCCTTGAAAAACAAAAGAAATGTGCATATTAAAAGTCTTAGCAAAAATACGTAAAGTATCCTATGAATGCTTTGTGTTAGAATATATGTGTGAGTTTTGTTAAAAAAATTCCACATTGGAGAATTGGTGTGGTATATAGCATTTAGATTTAACAAAATTTTGATGAAGAGTAAATGTATCATATAGGTATAAATTTGAGATTTTTGGTATTATAGTGGGCATAATTTAGAGTTTTTTTGTGGCTTTTGTACTTAACTTAGAGAAATAAAAGAAAAAATTCCGCTTCTACCAATCGGGTAAAACAGAGTCTGCGGTGAGCGAGCGCACAGCAGCCACATCCGCTTCGCTCGTCCCACCCGCAGAGCTTGGAGAAGAAGAAGACATGGCTCGCTCCCTTCTCTCTCACTTCCCCATCCTCTCCAACTCCACCTCTCTGTACTCTCTCTCTCTCTCTCTCTCTCTCTTTCCCCCTCTCGTGACTGTATGTACGGTTCTCTCTATGTGTGTGCTTGTGGGTGAGCGTGGGGACTGCTGCAATGTATGTGCAATGCCATGTTTGAGGGTGCTTGTACACGTAGAAGCCTGTATGTAATGGTTCTTTGCGATCTTGAAGCCACTAGGTGGCGATTTCTCATTGCGTCATTACGTCGAACAGGTCGTGTGCCGTCACTCCGAGCAAGTGCTTCGCAAGGCATCTTTTTGTCAGACCCAAGGCCTCGAGTTTTCATTGTCTCTGTACCCTCTCGCTCTCCGAACCCACCGTCTTGGAGACTTCCGGCTCCATGAGGTGCGTTTTGTTTTTTTCGCTTTTTTCTCCGGGTGCTGAAATGATTGCCCAATTGGTTTATTTGGGTTGGTTTGGTGATTTTGGCTTCATTGCTTTGATGCCTAATTTGACATCTCTTTGGTGATTTTTTTACTCCATTGCTTTGATTTGGGTTGACTTTGGAGTGTAATTGAGTGCAGAGTTATGTTAGCCCCATTGATGCTCATTCAGTTGCCTTACAGGAAAAGGATTGTTTCTGGAGTCCAGCCCACAGGTTCCATTCACCTCGGGAATTACCTCGGCGCCATTAAAAATTGGATTGAGCTTCAGGTTGATGTTGGTTTTCCTGTAAATTGTTGTGGTTTGTACTTGTTGTTATTTCTTCATTTATACTCACTCCTGGTTTCGATGCCGCAGAACTCATATGACACGCTCTTTTTCATTGTGGACCTTCACGCGGTATGTTTTTGGTTTGGGCATAGTTTTCTCTAGTTCAAGATTATTAAATGATATAAGGGTACTGGGTGGTTTGTCCTTCTTACTAGTTGCATCTAGTGTAACTGACAGAAAAGCAAGTCAATTGATCTTTTCTTGCAGTAAAACTGACACAGCCCTCAGTAGCATTATCTTTCCTGATATGCATGAGGTTGTACATTTCCACAAAAAGGTCCCATTTTTTTTAGTTTCCAATTAAAAAAAATCGTATTAGTAATATTGTTGCTCTTTTTCCAATAAGCTAGTTAACTAGGTCATGCCAGATCACGTAGGTTCATTATGCTATGCAAGACCAAAACGTGCACCTTGATATTCCAAAAGAACATTGTGAGTGGTTCATAAATGCTGTCTAGCTGACCAACACTGAACAGACAGAGACTGTAGTTATATATTCGGAGAAATTGAGTAGATGATGGGGGATTCACTTGAAGGAGTTAAACATGGAGGAAAAATATCACGAGCAAGTTTCGCATTAGTATTTAGGAGAATTCTCTTCCAGAACAAAATAGCGGCATTATGTTATATTTCTGATGTCAGCATTGAAGTAAACTCACTGGTGGACATAGGGTGCTGGTGGGGCTTCTTCCTGATTGTCCACCGGGTGTCTGACAAATTCCCCCTTAAAATTAATTTCTTTTGAAGTAACCTGAAGAAAAAATTAATGTACTTTTTCATCATTTTTAAGAAAATCTTATCTTGCCTCCCTAATCCTGAACTGTAGCCACCATCCAGTAAACTCTTATGGTAGGTTCTTAATATAAATGTCAAGCTTCCACCTTCCAATATACTTCTTACCACCAATTTTCGTCCAACGTGATTACTGAAATATCAATTTCATCTGAGTCATGCAAGAACTTGGTATAGAAGGAGATTTTTGTAGACTCCATCTGGAAATAAGGAATTTGTTGGAAGGCATGTTACTTCATGAAGGATGTCCTCTCCTACCCATTCGAGTGGAAATCTAAAACTGTGATCTTGACTCTCTTTGCTTTTGGATTTATGTGGATAGTTTCTCATTGACACCTCAATTTTCAGGTGATTTTCTTGTAAGTTTTTTAATATTTGGCATGGATATAATGTGTTTAATCACCTCATAGGTCAATAGAAGGTGTCTCTATCAGCTGGTTTTAGGCTTCTAAATAAGCTATCTAACGGACTATAATATTAACTATCGGCGACTGACACTGAAAAATTCGGAAGCTATATTAATGAGAACATGTCATACCCAGTAAACTTTTAGGTCAGCCAAGCTCTGGCCCTTGGTCTAAGTCTTTTCTACAAGCTCTAGTCCTTGAACTAAGCTTTTTCTACATTCATTAGATTATTTGAGGCATTTTTGCACTTTTTATTTCTGCCCAATCTAATACAGGTGTGTATCCTGGTCTTGTACTTTACATTCTTTATTATTGGAGCCATGAGGCTGTTTTTTCCTCTAGCCTATCATTTAACTACATGCTATCGCCGTTGGAGTTGATTTTTATTTGGTCCTAACATTTCTTTTTAGTATTTGTCCTGTCTTATACCATTTTTAATAACCCTGTTGGACAAGACCAAGGGATAGGGTTAACTGTTTTCATGCGGTGCAATAACATTAAGAAGAAAAAAAATAAAGAAAAACACAATGGTGAAGGAGGCAGGCTTGGGAGTCTTCTTTATCAGACATGGATGGGCTTGGACAAAACCATCAGGCCAGGCATGGGCTCTGTTAGGGCTAGGTAAAGAGAAAATTCCTCAACATCATACCCAAGCCTGCTTAGGCCTGCCAATTGATCATATCTAAAAGAATTTGTATTCATGTCGATATCTTTGTGTAATTTAAGATCTTTTGATCCTAATAAGATATCTTATGATTTAAATATAAGAATTAGAACGTGTGGGATGGAAAGGAAAATTCCAAGTTGCTTTCTTCTCAGGCAGGCAAAAACTTTGAACCGGATATGGGAATAAATGTTTCCAAAGTTTTGTAAAATGCCTTCTAATGCCTGTTCAGGCTAGTTTTAAGTACATTTTGTTGGACATTGTCATTTACAGATAACACTACCGTACGAAACACAACAGTTAGCTAAGGCAACCAGAGATACAGCGGCTATATATTTGGCATGTGGCGTTGACACTTCCAAGGCAATTTTTCTCCCCTCCCTGCTTTGAAGTATTCTCTGAATTAAAGGAACAGTCATCAATTATTTGCACACTTATTCTACCTTTGATAGCATATGACTTTAATTGTCGCATACAGGCTTCTGTGTTTGTGCAATCCCATGTCCGTGCTCATGTAGAATTGATGTGGTTGCTGAGTTCGGCTACGCCAATTGGTTGGCTTAATAGAATGATCCAGTTTAAAGAGAAATCTCGCAAGGCGGTGCGTTTTAATTGTACGGAAGCTTCATCCTCATCGATATATTCTCCTTTACTTTTTACCTTCATATCATATTGTACATGAATTGGCTAGTCTTTTACTTGTACCGGTCCACTGCTGCTGTTATGGTCATTCTTCTTAAGTACCATTGACCATCCTGGTTGATTAGCCTGACAAAGGACCGGCAAGTTTGAGTATTGAGGAAGTTCTTCATGCAATGTAATGGAGGGAAAAGTCTCACCTTTTCCCCTCTTTTTTGAAGAACTAACGTTAAGCTTCTGCAGTAAGTGCCAAGTTGTGTGCCTTTAATTGACTTTTGTCAAGTATAAGCCCTTACTCCTTTGGGTGATAGCTCTTGGAACCTCTTTGAAGTCTGAGCCACAAGATCAATCATTTGCAACAATTTTAATTATAAATTCCCTGATATGATTTGATTCGTCTATTAGATGATAGATTTGTAATGGTGTAGCTCCACTGGTAATATTTCATAAACCTAGATAAATCCCAATGACCATATATGTGACAGCAACATGTAGGTTTTGAGATAAATGGTAAGCAGACACAGTGAAACCCATTTGGCATATATACGATCTTTTGCTGTTATATGCTACTTTTATGTGTTATGAGTTAACAAAGTATTTTTTACTTTAATTTTGACTTTACAGGGAGACGAAAATGTTGGTGTTGCTCTATTGACTTATCCAGTTCTTATGGCTTCTGACATTCTCCTATACCAGGTAAAAAAACAAGAAATGTATTGTTTTCTATTTGCATACTATATGAATTACAAACAAATCAATAGAACTTATTTAGTTGTCTGTGACAAGTGTCTATTTTCTTCTGTGTTTTCTTTTTATGGCCCTTCTTGTTGAGTGCTTGCGACGTTGGTTTGCTTTTAGAACTATCAGTGATCATTAGTTCAGAACATCCTTATTAGCTTCACCATTGGGGGACAATTTTGCAGTCTGACTTTGTCCCTGTTGGTGAAGACCAGAAGCAACATCTGGAATTGACCCGTGAACTAGCTGAACGTGTTAACTACTTATATGGAGGAAGGAAGTGGAAGAAATTGGGAGGGTGAGGATTTCCATTTTTCCACCTTGATACTTTTGGAAATTCTGGATGTGCTTTCCATTCAGACTTTGATCCTTCATTATCCTCACTGTTTGTAACAGGAGAGGAGGAACAATTTTCAAGGTAAGTTTCATTCTGAATGCTGAATCCAGGCTCTGCTCAATAAGTTTCAAACTGCAGTGTTTGCTATTCCTGATATAGGTTCCAGAGCCCCTTATCCCTCCAGCTGGAGCAAGAGTTATGTCACTTACTGATGGTCTTTCCAAGGTCATGGAACCTTCTATATTCTCCAAAGAAGCTTTGATTCAATATTTCTGCTAGTTAAATTTTCAGTTTGTAAAACAATAAATTCGTAGAAAACCTTTTTCATCGGATTGAAGGATGAGAACTCTTCCCAACATAACAGAAATGTGGGCTTCATTCTTGCAGATGTCGAAATCTTCACCCTCTGATCAGTCACGGATCAATCTTCTTGACTCAAAAGATGTGAGTTTCCCCCTTGATAATGTTGCAATAATTTAATTTGTTGGCCACATATGACACCATTGTGTGTGGCTGGTGACTGCCTTATGCATGCCAGTTCTCTGATGAGATAAATTTGAAGCTGCTTTGATATTTTGGTCATTAGCTATCGTTTTTTTTTAGTTTGGTTGGGTTTTTTTTGTTTTTCTCTGTGTGTGTGTCTGTGTGTCTGTGTGTGTGTGTGTGTGCGTGTGTGCGTGTGGGGGGGGGGGGGGGGGGTCGCAATTAATAGTTTAATGAAACTTGCTACGTCGCGTAGGAGTTACCTGAAACACCATGTTGCATGTCAATCTAAAGAGGAAGTGGCACTTTTAGACATAAGAATAGTGATGAACATACAACACAGCCACCACCGTTAAGATGGGGAAGTGGCATGTCAGATTGCATTCGACTGACTTAGTGCAATATAAGCAGAGCCATCTCGTTGTGCATTTTAACTTTTTGCCACCTGAGCTATCTTGTTGAGCACTACCATTTTAACTTATTGCCACAAGAGCCATCTTGTTGTGCTTATCAAAACCTAGGAAAAATTAATTTCCATCTATATTTTTATCAATGCACGCATCTATCTAAAGTAATTTTTGTCAGCTCAATTCTAGAATTTTTTTTTTTCTGTGGGGGGGGGGGGGGGGGGGTGTGGGGCGTGTGTGGTCAGGCAGCTTAATGTCTGTCTGTAGTTTGCTGATGCAGGTTGTCAAAAGATAAATTAAATGTGTATGTTTCTCATGTTTCTTTGACCGTCCTTGAGTTCACTTATTTGTCTTGTAGGTGATAGCAAACAAGATCAAACGTTGCAAAACTGACTCATTTACAGGGTCGATACTCACTCCTTCAACTTTTATCGTTTCTGCTGTATCGATGCTCTGAAATATTGAAATATTGTTGTCAAAATTTGGAACATGAACATATAATTTTTTTCTCTGGAGTTCCTCTATAAATAAATGTTGTATATCATGATATCCTCCTTGTATGCTGTCTGCTGATCTTTCGTCTTTTGCATTTTCTTGTTATCATTTAGTTTGGAATTTGATAATCCTGACAGACCAGAATGCAATAATCTACTTTCAATATACCAGCTCGTTTCAGGAAAAACCAAAGAGGTAATGCAATTAGAGATGTTACTGTTAACTTTATCAGTCGTCACTGCGTACTATGGTATTACATTTGTCAGTCTTAAGGACTTGACAGTGGCTCTTAAGCTCTTTTCGATACACTGCATCAGAAAGTTTAACTAGCATGTTTTATACCACAGGAAGTTGCAAAAGAATGCCAAGACATGAATTGGGGCTTGTTTAAGCCCCTCATTACGAACGCCTTAATTGATCATCTGCATCCCATTCAGGTTTCTACTTCATATCATTTGTCTTTTTAGATGATCCTGGTAACTTCAGGAGAATATTACATTAATCGGTTGCAAGTCTGATTTTCATTATTTGACAGCTGAGATTTCAAATGTGTGACAGTTGACAGTTCTTACTTTTGTTGTGCTTGAGTATACTTTGAATGGTTAAGTTTGCCAAATAGTTGATGGTTCATCCTCTCTTCGTCATTTACAGGTCCGCTACAAGGAAATCATGTCCGATTCAGCGTATTTGGATGGTGTATTGGCAGAAGGTGCTGCAAGAGCAACAGAAATAGCAGATGCTACCCTCAATAATGTCCGTCAGGCAATGGGATTCTTGCGGAGATGAGAAGATTTTGATACATTAATAAGTTTTACGAGCACACCACTTGGTAGATTACATTAAAGCTCACTTCTACATGATTACCAACATAAGTTTTCAGATGATTCTTTTCAGCAATTTTTTGACTGAGGAAAAGCAATATTTCTGGCAAAGGCTGTCATACATCCATTGATGTGCTAGGAAGGTGTTTCCTTGTATTATGTGGGTTCAAATTGCTTCCACTCATAATTTATATGTTAATTCTCTTTCGACTGTGTTGTATAAGATTGTAACTCTTCATTCTTGATAAATCTGAAGCTTTTGTAGTTGAAGAACTTTTATCGACTCTCGCCACAATGTTCAACCTTTCTGGTTGTGAGCAGATTCTTAGTTGTCAAGTGGTAAATGCATCGTGAAGTAAAATTCTAAATTTGGGACTTGTGATTGTGAATGATTTATTGAATTGAATCGGCCTGCCATGGGGACATAACAATCACTTGCACATACAGCTCTTAGGTTAAGTAAGAGATAATCAGCTAACATTGACTTTACGATGACGCAGATGTGGGGAATTTTTAGTGTTATAGGCTTAGGACTGCATAGAAGAGAGTTAGGACTATTTGAGCATGATTCCTTTTGGAAAACTCAGATGGCTTTGTTCAAAAGATGCTTTCTGATTTGATGAATCCAAGTGCAGTTAAATTATATGCAGGAGGCAGAGAAACTGAGCTAGGGACGAAGACAATCATCATTAACCTGATGAAAAGCAAAAAGGAGAAAAGGGAGAAAGCTGAAAAGAGGCCTCAAAAGTGTAAAGTGAAAGATGGTGTTTTATCAAGGGGATCAATCATGCGTATATGGAGTGCATGCGGGGGTCTACCACTTAGGAATGGACTCTTATGCTAGTAATGATGTGAACGACGATTTTCATATTCAATGAACACTTCAACAAAGTATCAATTCATCAAAGAATTATGGTTTAGTACTTTGTTCAACATTGTTGTTCAGCACACCAAAGAACAAAAGTTGGCATCCCACCAATCCAAAAGATGCAGACTCCCTTGGCTTGCCGAAAGTGTGCATGCGCGTGTAGAGAGAGAGAGATTCTTTAAATTGGGGCTTCTATTTAACGCTGCACAAGTTTTATACAGACTCAGTCTTGATCTGTGCCTCGAGGACGAAAGAAGTGTGATGATGCTCTCACTCTGTACTTGCCGAGTATGTATTGAAAGTGCAAATATTCAGGCACATTCAGATTATCAAAATAGTTTTAATCTGTTAAAGAGAACAAGCTCCTAATGTCCTACATAAGTAGGCTACTGCAAAGGATAAAGACTGCCATTTGTTATAATCGTTTAAACAGAAGTCAGCCTGTTTTGCACTGGGACACCATGTAAGAAAGTTGAAAAGGTTTATCAGAAAAGTGGACCCTTCAAGCGACTTTTTCGGATTCCTCCAAATGGACAAACTGAAATGATTGCTGCCACGCGTTACACTATCACCCTGGATCGGCTTGAGTGAAAGGCGTTTGGAACTCGAATGTATCGTATGTGCATTAATGGTTCATTCGCTAATTCAGATGCCGAATCGAGAATATACCCAATGTCTTTGTCATAGCATTATGTAGGTCCATGGCCCTGTCCTATTTGAGCCACTGTTGGAACTGAACAAAGAACAAAATTTTGTTTGAGCATTTGATGGCCCTGCCCTCTCTTATTTTCTTTCAATTTGGAAGAATAAATATCTTGGTTCAGCTAAATAGCTCTAATCATTCAAAGTCAGAAGGTACGTGCGGCCAAGAACAAGAAGTATGTATGCGTGTTCCTCTGTTCAAGTTTTGGGTTTGAGCAAGCATGCTTAATTCGTTGGGATTCCAGCTAAACAATAAACAAGTTGTCTTGTCCCCAAGTCATGAATCAGGGATGTGACAACAACCACCAAGTGTAGTCCACAGATGGTTAATTGCGCATGTAAACTTGCTTACCCTTTCCTAGTGCGGCTTCAGTTCTCGGCATTCGGAATCTCCATGCAACTTCCTCTTGCTGCTCTAACACACGGTCCACTCGAGTCGAAGTGAAAGCTGAAAGAACCCATCCACTGTACATTCCCACTGAAGCATGGTTGTGATAAAACCAGGTTTTCTTGCCATCTGTATGATATAGTGGTTCCTCTTCTTAGTTGGTAGCAGAGTTGAGAATCTTCACAGGCTTAAAGTCAATCTGCTTTTGCTGATGCCTGCAACGCGTTTCTCTTTCAGTCAATTACCATAGCAAAGTATCTGAGAAAGGTTTGAGACTGAAACTGAGCAATTTCTGTTCTAAGCTTTTCACACATCCCATGATGACAACCGATTGTTTTCGGAACGATTCTGATCGTACTTTACTTTCCATTCATTTTCTCCTGATAAACTGAGTTGCCAAAACTGAAATATTGTATTTCTCATGCCTATCTTTTCCCATTAGGTTTGTCATCATTTAAACAGTACAAATTGATGTTTATTGTCATTTATGCAGAATGCCTGCTAAGGAAAAAGAAGGGTGCTCAGGAAACAAGAAGAGCGTTGCAAGAGGGTCAAACGATAAGAACTTGGACCTGAGGCTCGGTCCTCCTGGAGAAAGTTTTATTCAAGGAGCCAAAAGGGTGTTTGAAGACATTGTAACTCATAAAGCAAGAGATACAAAGCTCTTGCATAAACACCCCTGCCTAAAGCCCCCTTTGAGTGACCAAAAGATTGAGGAGCTTGCTGATAGCAGGACATGCTGGCCCGAGAAAACGACTTTGACTCTTCGGAGAGTGATCCAGGAACTGAAGACGCAACCCAATCCTTCATACAAACAGTTCTCTTTGACCTCCCCGCTGAATGTGACGGTTGCAAAATCTTCACAAGAGCATGTCTTTAATGAAGCGGACTTTCTCAATTTAAACAATGAAGCCCTTTCAAGTCCTCTTATTCTACCTGGAAACTCTCCGAAAAGGGTGTTTGAAGACATTGTAACTCATAAAGCAAGAGATACAAAGCTCTTGCATGAACACCCCTGCCTAAAGCCCCCTTTGAGTGACCAAAAGATTGAGGAGCTTGCTGATAGCAGGACATGCTGGCCCGAGAAAACGACTTTGGCTCTTCAGAGAGTGATCCAGGAACTGAAGACGCAACCCAATCCTTCATACAAACAGTTCTCTTTGACCTCCCTGCTGAATGTGACGGTTGCAAAATCTTCACAAGAGCATGTCTTTAATGAAGGGGACTTTCTCAATTTAAACAATGAAGCCCTTTCAAGTCCTCTTATTCTGCCTGGAAACTCTCTGAAAAGGTTATTTTGCTAAGCTTGCCTTCTCATTCTCCCTTGTTCCTACTCTTATCAAGCTAATATGTATGGGGAGTTGCTCGGCCACAAATTTGGAAAAACTTTATTTTGAAAAGAAAATGAATGAACATGCATTAGGGTATTTTAGGTTGTCTCTGTCATAAAGGATCAAAGAGATGAAGTAGTAAAAATGAAGATGGATCTCCCAAAATAAAAAAAAGGATGTCATATGATTTGATTGCAATTGAAGTGTGCGACTTATCAGTGAAGAAACAGGTAAAAGAACTCTCTCCAGGGTAAGAATAAGGCACTTACTCATTTTGTACTGTGCAAAATCAGCATAATCCTCAGGGTCCCAATATGCAACATATCTGTATCTGTGAACTGTTTTAGAGACCCCAACTTGACTATATTGGTCCTTTGTTTGCAGAATTCCGCCTGGTCCAGTCGTTGGGTGGCCTCCAATAGGTTCCTTCAGGAAAAACATTGCAAACAACTTGTTGTGCAGGCAAACTCCTGAGATGTCATCGAGTGAATTTAGGAAGCAGGACAATGGTGAACATCAATCAGAAGATCCAAACCAGCACATGTTTGTAAAGATCTACATGGACGGATTCCCAATAGGAAGAAAACTGAACCTCAAAGCCTATGACAGTTATGAGAAGCTCTCTGTTGCCATTAACGAACTCTTTAGAGGCCTTCTTGCTGGTAAGACCTCAAATTAAGCATCTTAGTCCAAGAATGGTAATTGGTTAATGAGGTAGCACTTGAGTATCTATCCTTTCCTCTTGAAGACAAACATGATACAAGTGATGCTAAGTGTTTAATGTCCTAACCTTTCACTTTTTAGCGCAAAGCGCTGCGAGCGATGATACAAATGCAGAGAGAGAGGACATGAATGCCGAAAATGGGGAATGCACTTTAGTTTATGAGGATAATGAAGGAGACAGGATACTCGTTGGTGATGTTCCATGGAAGTAAGTACTCTTTATTTTAGTGTTTGTGTCAACAAATAACCTGCGTTATATTTGTCGACCATAATCCAGTAACTCAACAAACGAACATACCGCAACGACACCTTTGAAAAGCTTCAAAGCTGCTCAAAACTGATCATCTTTCCTAGTACAGTTTTCCGTTTTCTATTTGCTTGAATTTGCAGCCAACTAAAAAGGATTCCAACTAGTTTTGTAGTCATCATAATCACCCAATTACATAAAAGTGCTCTCCCAACACAATCTTATCATTTTCTCGTAGTATGTTTGTATCTACTGTCAAAAGGCTGCGCATCATGAAGAGCTCGGGTCTCACCGCTTCCCCGCCATGTGAGTTCCTTTTTCAGGTTCTTCTTGAACTTCCCATCTAAGGGTCGATTTCGTTCTCATCTAATTCCTCGAGTTAAGATGGTTTTAATTTTTCTTTCAGTTGTAAGCAGTGATCAAGACAACACACCTCCTGATTCAGCGGCAAAAACTGGAAGATGAGGGAGACATTGAGCTGATCATCAGGAGTTCACAATTTCAAGGACTTGTATATTATGCTTCCTAGTGTATTTTTTTTGGTTTTTGGACCATCCATAAGGCTATTCTAGATGTTTGTGTGTTATTAGTTCTCGCCCAGCTATTTGTATATAGCATATGCATTAGTTTATTAGGACTTACCAGCTGAAGCATATATGTGATTACAATTAGCTTTTACCTGCTATAAACAAAATTCCACTCAACAGAATGGATTTCAGTGTTTCTATCTCAACTTGTTTTCATGACTTAATTGCCGTTCTTTTTCGGCTATTCCTCGGTAAAAATAATTCAATCGAGTTCAGCATGCGACAAAGTTTATCTCCGGTCCGATTCCTGTTAATTCTAGAATGTATATTCCACCTAAAACAGATGCTTTAATCACTCTTTGATTTTTCATGTATGTTTGGTGAACCTAAGCAGGTAGTGACTTAATCAAATTCACTTCTCTCAGAAGAAAATCCGGGCATCTTTTTGACCCAGGCACTCGTTTAATTCTCTCTTTCTAGAAACCCTTTTGTCAGCATGAAAAGCTACACTTGCCAAATCTTGTTTCCTAGTGTTTTTCCAGGTTTAACTTCTCATAACAAAAGATTTCTACTGCATGAGTAACTAACTATTCTTGCCCCTGCTCTAGTTTCCTCTTTTTCACTACTTTGTTCTTCACATTTTACCCATCTAAGCATGGAGCTCTTCTTACAGAAATGATGAATGTATGGTATTATGGACATGGAGGCTTCATGGCAAGACTCTTTCCTTCTTTTAACAATCAAAGACAGGCACACAAGATTCAATGCTGACATTAGCAAACTTGGGAGAAGAAACAAGAAATTGTGAGGTATAAATCCATCCATCCATGTCATTGACTCAGGGGTCAGGGCAGAGGACATGACTCTGCAAATTTGAGGAAATATCATGCCTTTGTTCGAATGGACAAACATATAAAACATAAACAGCAGCCGCCAAAGTCGGCTTGCATTCAAAGAGGCATGAAGAAAATCAACTTGATAAGATGACTTAGTCCACGAGAAACAACTGCTGTTTCTTTGTTTTTCCCCCCTCCCCTTCAATTATTAATAATATTTTGGGCCCACAAAATATTTGATTCAGAAAAATATGAAAATGATTGGAACCTTCCCACGACTTTATGACCATGCTTTTTGGCTTAAATTGATCTTTTTGTCTCTGTCCTTTGCATCAACTACCTAAATGCATTGACTGCTTTTTACTGGCTCTGAAGTCATCATTGGCTTGGATGAATGGCTGGAGTTGGACACTCTACACTTTTCTTTTCGCATTTTCATAGTTTTTTTGTCACATCGATGTGAAAATGAAGATTCAAAAGCCAAATTCCATTCTTTCAAAGCCCCATTCAATCTTGTGCCGGCATCGGTGGAATAATCTAATCTAATAAGTCATAGCAAAAGTGACTTTTTGAATATTAGATCCATTCAATATAATAAATAATCATTTTATTTTCGTATACAATTTCATTTTTTTTATTTTAATATACTGTCGTAAAAGTGAATTTTGAACATTTAAGAAATTCAATTTAATGAAGATTCTTTTCTTTTCCAAATGAAATTTTAAGAGTTTTTAAGAAAAGATAAGATTTAAAGGAAAATTTCTTATAATCTCAATCTAAATCTAAACAGTTAATTAATTTGAAATGCTTTATATGAGTAATTGAATAGATTATGTACAATCGTTATTCGATAAAAAGAAGTCTTCTTAATTTCTTTTCAAGCAATTTCGAGAGATGAATATTTCAGGATATCAACATAGTCATAAAATGTCATATGTACTTAATAATATCTAACATAATAAATCCATGAGAATGAGAAAATATTTATGCTTTAGGCTTGGCATAATATGTGGTAGAAAGAAAAAAGATAAGTGCACTAAAAGTCCTAAATTTTATCATGAAATTGCAAGTAAGTTCTAAAACTTTCAAAAAGTACAATCAAGTCCTAAAATTTGTCACATTTATGCAATCAAGTTCTTCTATTAATTCCATCTAACTTGGTTAACAGAAAATGGTAACTTGGCTTTTTTTATTATTTTCTTTCTCCTACGTGGGGCTAACGTGGATAAAACAAGAGGATAAGACTAAAACAACGTCGTTTTGGTCCAATTTCTTATTTTTTAATGTAAATACTTTCTAAATTAGATTAAAAAAATAAACTAAATTATAAAAATAAAAAATGGCAGGGTCGTCGGCCACTAGTCGAGGCCCGGTAATCCCAGCCGACTCTCAACCCACCATTGCCAGCTGGTTTTGCCTACGTTCCTCTTTTTTTATTTAGTTTATTTTTTAATCTAGTTTAAATAGTATTTATATTGAAAATCAAATTGGACCAAAACGTCATCGTTTTAGCCTTATTCTTCTTGTTAGGTCACATTAGCACCATTTAGAAGAGAGGGAAAAAATAAAAATAAAAAAGCCACGTCAAGTTTTTTTATTAGTCAAGTTGAATGGAGTTAATAGAAGGACTTGATTAAACTAAATTAATACCTTTTATGACTTGATTACATTTTTTAAAAATTTTAAGACTCAATTGCACTGTCATAACAAGTTTTAGAACTTCCGATGCACTTATCTAAAAAATATATATATATATATTTACATATGTAGCATGCCAAGAGAGAGACAGAGTAATTTTACTCCATCCCATACAATATGCATTAAGATTGGAGTGAATTTTCCTTTATGGTCAAAAAATTGGAGTGAATTTCACGTAACAAAAAAAAGGATTAATATTACGAAAAACCCCAAACTGGTACACTTATAACAAATTTACCTTCAACTAATATTTTGACCACAAAAAACTCCAAAATAGTATACATGTGAAAAATTTACGCCAAACTACTATTTTGACCATAAAAAACCCTAATGTGACAAATTGACCCTCCGTTAAATTGGATTAATACCACAAAAAATCATAAATTGATAAACATGTGAATAAAGGAGGGGTAAAACCCAAAACTGGTACACCCGTCAACTGCCACATGTTATCCAACTTAGAAATTTGACGGTAAAATTTAACGGAAACTAACGGAGGGTAAATTTGTCACAGGTATACCACTTTGGGATTTTTTGTGATCAAAAAATTAGTTTGGGATAAATTTATCACATGTTTACCAGTTTGGGGTTTTTCGTGGTATTAACCCAAAAAAAATGACGATTCCTAGAATTGGTAAAATAATCGTGTTAAGCTAAAAAAGAAAGCAATATGTGATAAATTTATTCTGAGCAAAATAGGACATATAAAATATTAGATAAGTGTAAAGTGAATTTATATATAAGACAAAGGACCCTACTTCATTCAATAATTAATGATACATATTATTTTGCATGGTACTTTCTTCGATTATTTAAATTCTACTACTACAGTCACAACCGGGCCCTAAGAACTACTAAATTTTTTTTTAAATTATTAAAGTTGAATGTAGAAAACCAGAGAATGAGTTTTAGTAAACATAGATTTTCAACATGCCTAATATGATGCAAATACACTAGCATATTGTTTAATAGTCCGGTTCAAAAGTTTCGGACCTAAGAATGTCCTTAAATTATTTCGTCTGAACTTTGGGACGTAAAATGCGAAGTATTCCCTAAGATGATGGAAGAAAAACTATCCCCCAACTTGGGGGTTGGTCGTGCAGGCACTAATATATAAAAATAAGAAATGCGATCCTATCAGTCCGTTACATATATACACCTGAATAAGCAAGGTGCCCCGGTCGGAAGCTTTTATCTTCCCCTGTTTCAGTGAGATATCCTCCCTAACCATCACCAGGGTTTGAGAATCAATAATTTTGTGCAATAAATACAGTTGGAGCCGCCCCTGCTCTCAGCCACCACCAGTCCAAGAGACTTTGCAAAAAGTGTTTTTTTTTTTTTTTTGGTTCTTTTTTTGTCTAACTTCGCAATAAGCGTTTTGTCTTCCCCCACAGATTGGTCAAACAATCTTCTTTCTCTAGAGGTAACCCGTGAGACGCCTTCTAGAACAAGGGGTCCACCCCCCAAAAACAATAACAAGTAAAGTTCAAATTTAATCTAATTCTATTTAACAAATTAAGCTAATGCATTCGGCCAGAAAAAATTCGAAGGACGTGAGCTAGTGCTAGCAACCCAACGCACAAATGAAACATAATCATATGATTTTCGGATACAAGTCATAAGGAATTAATTAAAAAAAACCCTTTTTACCAAAGTTAGGTGATCAAACATTACTATCGATAGTCGCTAAATTACGAGGAGAAAGTAATATATAATCTATTCTTGTAGCTAAACATTTAACAAGAAATCTAATATTCCTCAACCATTAGCAAGTCATATCGTGCGGCATATACTTCAACAAATTTGGACAAAAAATTGCACTAAAAAGCGTGATTGTAAAGTTCATATAAATAGCCGCGAAACGAATATAAAGAAATTCGAGTTTTTAGAATTCACAGTTTAGATCACATTGTTCATGTGCTACTAAGGGACAAAAAAGGGCATAGATCTTACATGCATATACAATTAATAAATTATCTTAACATATTGACAGGATAAGATCATACTGTTATAATATTCTTTTTCAAGATAATTAAAAAGGGTCCACTAATTTAACTAGGATCGGATTCGCCACCACCCTATTTTTCATAGCCTAAAAACCCCAAATTGGTGGGACCATCCTAAAAAATTATTGCGACCCTCTTTATTTTATTCTTCGAATGTTGTAATTTTTGTCAAATGTTAAGTGGAAACGTGATGGATTAGAACTCTTATTAGTTGGACTGACCGGCAAAACCATATCACTATCAGTGGCACAAACGTAATTAAACTCGATGGCAGTGTCATTTTGCTAGTGCGATTGGACAACAACCTCCGAACTATATAAATAGCTCCAGCTCTTCCTAAGCTCACCAATGTGGAACTCCGAAACTCCTACCTTCTGTTTCCGTTAGTTTTTTCCTGGCCAACCAACTTTCCCGGCAAAAACAAGCGCCGGAGTGACCGACCGGACCGTTGAAATGTCGAAAATGCCCCTCTATTTCCGAAAGCTCGGCCTCCCCCTCATCTTCCTCTCTCTTCTCTCCATACCCTTTTGTGTAATCTCACAGGGTCAGGCCACAGATGAGCTCACGGTCCTGCTCAACCTGAAGCAGCAATGGGGCAATCCACCTGCTCTCCAATCGTGGACCTCATCGACGGCGACGCCGTGCGGCTGGCCGGAGATCAATTGC